GATGCACATCCCGAACTACAGCCTAAATGTGCGCCCTCTCTACCACGTGACCCGTAAGAAGAATGATTTTGAATGGGGCCCTGAGCAACAACAATCCTTTGAACAGATTAAACAAGAGATTGCCCAAGCAGTAGCCCTCGGGCCAGTCCGGGAAGGGCAGGAGGTTAAGAACATGCTCTACACCGCAGCCGGGGAGAATGGCCCTACCTGGAGCCTCTGGCAGAGACCACCTGGGGAGACCCAAGGCCAACCTCTAGGCTTTTGGAGCCGGGGATACAAAGGCTCTGAAGCTAATTACACACCAACTGAGAAGGAGATACTGGCAGTGTACTAAGGAGTTCGTGCTGCCTCAGAAGTGGTCGGCACTGAAACACAGCTCCTCCTGGCACCCCGACTGCCGGTGCAGGGGTGGATGTTCAAGGAAAATCCTCCTCCACACATCATGCAACTGATGCCATGTGGAGTAAATGGGTTGCGTTGATAACACAATGGGCTCGAATAGGGAACCCCAGCCGCCCAGGGATACTAGAGGTGATTACGGACTGGCCAGAGAGCAAAGATTCGGGGATGTCACCAGAACAGGAGGTGACACGTGCTAAGGAGGCCCCACCATATAACGAGCTGCCAGATGAGGAGAAGCGATATGCCCTGTTCACTGATGGGTCTTGTCGTATTGTGGGAAAACATCGACGGTGGAAGGCTGCTGTATGGAGTCCCACATGATGGGTCACTGAAGCTGCTGAGGGATAGGGAGAATCGAGCCAATTTGCAGAGGTGAAAGCTGTTCAGCTTGCTTTGGATATTGCTGAATGGGAAAAGTGGCCAAGGCTCTACCTCTACACCGACTCATGGGCAGTAGCAAATACCCTGTGGAAATGGTTGCAGCAATGGAAGCAGAACAACTGGCAACGTAAGGGTAAAACCGTTTGGGCTGCTGAAGTATGGCAGGACATTGCAGTCCGTGTGGAAAACCTCGTTGTGAAGGTGCGCCATGTGGATGGCCATGTACCCACGAGTCGGGCCACTGATGAACATCGACACAACCAGCAGGCAGACCAAGCTGCTCAGATTAGAGTGTTTCAGGTGGACTTGGACTGGCAGCAAAAAGGTGAACTGTTCATAGCCCGGTGGGCCCGTGAGACCTCGGGCCACCAAGGTAGGGATGCAACATACAGGTGGGCTTGAGATCGAGGGGTGGATCTCACCATTGACACCATTGCAGAGATCATCCATGGATGTGAGACGTGTGCTGCAATCAAACATGCCAAGCGGGTGAAGCCCCAGCGAAATGGAGAGCGATGGCTGAAATATAGATATGGAGAGGCCTGGCCGATCGACTCCATCACACTGCCACAGACCCGCCACAGGAAGCGCCACGTGCTCACAATGGTGGAAGTAACCACTGGGTGGCTGGAAGCTTACCCAGCGCCCCACGCCACCGCCCGGAACACCATCCTGGGCCTTGAAACCCAAGTCCTGTGGCGACACGGCACCCCAGAGAGAATTGAGTCAGACAATGGGACCCACTTCTGAAACAACCTCATAAATGCCTGGGCAGAAGAACATGGCATCGAGTGGGTCTGCCATATCCCCTACCACGCACCAGCCTGTGGGAAGATGGAGCGCTACAATGGACTGTTAAAAACCACATTGAAAGCACTGGGAGGTGGCACCTTCAAAGACTGGGACATGCATCTAGCAAAGGCTACCTGGCTCGTCAACATAAGAGGATCTGCCAGTCGAGCTGGCTCGGCTCAGTCGAGACCTCCACGTTCTGTAGATGGGGATAAAGTCCCTGTGGTGTGCATGAGGAATATATTGGGAAAAATGGTCTGGTTTAGTCCTGCGCCAGGCAAAGGCAAAGGCAAACCCATCCACGGGATTGCTTTTTCTTGCCCAAGGATCTGGGTGCATCTGGTGGGTGATGCAGGACAATGGAGTGGTCCGATGCGTACCACAGGGGGACTTGATTCTGGGTGAGAACATGCCGTAAATTATGCTGTGCCTGTGTAAATTATTACTTTTTTATTGTTAACTGCTAAATGGCAGCTGGACATGACGCAGATGGTATAGAATAAAGGGGTGGATTATGTCCTGGTTCAGCTAGGATAGAGTGAAGTTTTCCCCAGCAGAGAGAGAGGGGGAAGGGATCTCCAGCCGGGTTATTCATACCATGCTGACGTCAGGTCCAGGGGCAGAGCCTTTTTCACCTTGCTCTTTGGCAGGCACCTTTCTTTCCGTAAACCAGCTAGCAGTATTTCTCTGTATATTGTTTTTCTTGTTCACTGTTATTGCTGTTTATTGTTGTTACCATTGATACTGTTGTTGTTCAGATTGTTCTATCACTCTGTTGTATTAAATTTCTTGTTATTTTAGCCCAGGTCTGTGCCTCACTTCCAGCCCGACCGGTGTGTGTGGTGGAGGGGCAACGGCAACGTGCTCTCTGATCCCGGCAAGGATTAAACCTGCACATTCTCATGTTATGATGTTCTACTAGCAGGCAACTTTGCTTAAAACTTGAAAATAAAGTGAGTTGTTATCTATGGGCTCTGTCAGGAGGATGATGCAGTTTCGTGGGCCAGTTTAAAATAGTGTTGTTTGCAGAAAAAGGAGTCTTGCCCTTTCCAATTTCCATCCCCTTCTTTGCACCAGCACTAGCATTCAGGATGTCGCCCCAATCAGATGGCTGATCCGATTGGGACTGTCAGTGTTATATGCAGGTGTCTCAAGCTGTTTATGCAACTGTATTGAAGGACTTTGAGCTCTATTTCCTTTTCCTGGCTCTGGGTGGCAGTGAGGTTTAGTGTCTCTGTGCCAGTTTACCCGTATGTGGAATAGCGGCACTAAAGGAACCAATATCAGTAACATAGTGTGATATCTTCAAATAAAGGTAGCAAGGAAACATGAAGTGTTAATGCTTATATGGAAACAATTTCTTCTAGACTCTTTATTGACAAATGTGAAGACCCAGTCAGTTTATAATCTAAGGGTGATTTAAGTGCTTGTAGAAATATCAGGATATTATAATTTTATTAATCAGGTTATGAACAATACTTATTTAAAATTGCAAGATACCATAGTAGTCACACAATAAGATCTGTATAATATTGATAATAAAATGCATAAATTTGTGTTCCTGTATCTGTAGGTAGATATACAGGTATTGATATCTGCCATTTATTGAAAAGCTAACCAGGACTGCTTTACTAATATTTACAATGCCAGTTTTCTTACTTTTATTGAGTTCTACCATACTTTATTCTTAGCCTACTTTTCTGGAAACAAAACATGTTTTAGCCAGTTTGTGTGGGTGTGTCTGCATACCATTATCCCTTAGTAACCCTTGCAGTAGTTATCTTCTTTCAAAATTAGGGGATGGAGGTCTCAAAGATAGTTTGTTAATTTGATAATTTTCTCAAAATTATATTTTATAAAATAATATCTTTGACATACCTTTGATAATTATCTCAAAAGATAATTTGTCCTCTCATCTCAGAAAAAAGGTTACTATAAACTTAATTAAAATAGTCAACAAGGAAAATAAAATTTCCCATAAGTGCCCCAAAAGAGGGAAAGTTTGCAAAGTGAGCCTCATCAAATATTCAGCACAAGAGAAAGGTCCTGTACGTGCTCCAGCAGATTCAGTCAGAGTTCCTAGACCTGGAACAACTAGACAAAACAAATCCATGGGAAATTCATTGTTGTTCAATCTATAGAACTTGTTGTTTCCCATGCTTATGTGAAAAAAAAAAGGTGCAGACCTTCTTTTTATTTAAAATAAAACATTTCCACCCTGCATAATTGTAGAGAAAGGCTTGACAAAGCTTGATCTGTGAAGGTTTGAAAACAACAACATAACTAAAAATATTTGTAGGTACCATCTTGATACCCTCTTGAAAATTGTTGCTGGTTTTCAGGAGTCTTACAACTGAGCTTGCAATACCAACAATCATTATGCAACAATTAGGCCCTTTATTTTTAATGGAATTTCAGGAATCTCTTTATTACTTCTGGTAAAATTCCTGCACAAATTTTTTCAAAATATGGGAAAAGTTAAACAGGGCAGGAGAGGTAATCATGACCTACTGTTTGAACACTCTAGTGTGCTTTTTTTTTTTTTGTCTCCACAGTGCCTCTGCCCTGGCTATGTTCATGGGAAGAATTAACAGAAGAAACTACTGTGATGTTTGAGATGACTTAGTAGAAGGTCCCCCTAGCAGACTGATGGTACCAGAATGAGTCAGACTGAGTTAATCCAGTGCAAAATTGAGTGGTTAATTTGGCCTGTGAATTAAACCTAATTTTGCTCTGAGACAGATCTAAAGCGCTCACCCAGTTGTAGGTAGTAGCCCCCTACAAAATGCTTTAAATGCCTTCAGCTAGGTCTGCCAGAAGTTATTTTACCCTTGCCTAAGGCTGGTACCACATAGGAAATTCTTTAGTTATCTGCAAAAATTGTGACTGAACAATCATTCCAATCTACGGGTCAGTCTCATGACTCATGAATACCAAAAGCATTTGCAGAAAGTACCATGTCATCCTGTCCCCTCAGATTATCCTCTTTCGGTTCCTTTGCTATGCAACTTAATCAGTACTAAGAAAGCAGTTTGCAGATTTTTCCAGTCTGCTGCTTTCCCTTCCTACTCTGATCATGAATTCACATGACCCAATTCACTGTCACCAAATAACTGTCATTATACTTGAGAAGACTAAAAAAAATAATGTGCTTTTATGTGGAAAAAACCCAAAACAAACAACAAACCCTCTCATTTTTAAAGGTCATCCCTGCAGGTCTGGGAGTAGCAGTAAAAGGAGCAGGATACAAGTGTGCTCCATCTATGGAGCTGCCAGTCTGGCCCCCTTCCCTTAGGACCAATCTTTGCTTAAGAGCAGGGCTGCTCCCCAGACCAGGTGTTCGATCGACAATGATCTCTAGTTTCAAATCCGACAGCACCGATCTCCTCACTCTCTGCTCATCCGCAAGTGGGGGCAGCGGAAGAGAAAGGATGGGAGGGAGAGGGAGGACACTGCAACCTACTTGAATAATTGATGGTGTAAGGAAATGAGAGCAGCTGGGTTCCCTGCCTCCATCCGCTCACCAGCTGGGGATGAGAGATCCTTGCTCAGGTAGGGGATGAATGGCTCAGCTGCTTTTATTCTCATCTTGCCTGCAATTCCAATTAAAGATATTTTTGCATCTAGAAGGAATGGGAGCAAAGGTAGCTGGGGGAGGGTTGATCCAGATCTTCTGTGCTGCTTGGTTGTGTAACGGGTGTACCTTGGGGCAGTTTCCGCCTCAGCAGGGAAAGTGGCTGTATGCTTTTTAAAAGACGTTGTGCTATACTGCATTGTGTAGAGAAGCAGCTGGGGAGAGAGAGAAGGAGAGTGGAAGTGGGGATGCCTGTGTAGGTAATGAGACAAACTGAAGAGGCAGAGGGGCATGAAAGAGGGTCTGTCCAGACTCAAAGGAATGCTACCCTGATTCTGTCAACCTTTGAAATAAAAGGAGTCTAAGTGGGCAGTGGAAAGTGCTGTCTCTGCACACTGGCTGCTATATTTAGAAGCTGTGTGCACAGATTTGTAGAAACAGTTAATGTGAAAACATTTAGGTTTCTATCTATGAGTTTGTGACAGAGTGTAACATTATAGTAAGACAAAAAAATACAAATTCTGCCTTGAAGAGTTTACTGTTGAAGGATGTGCTGCTGTGTTTCTGTGATACTGTGCAGCTTCTGATGTTCTTAAAATGACTCAATTAATAACATTGCAGAGATCAGATTCTGTATTACAGCTAATACAGACTTCTGTGTGAGCAAGATACAATGCTAATTCAGTTACAAGAATAAAAAAACATTTTAACAAAAACTGTGAAAATACATAGCAAAAGGTATAGATGTCAATTACTATAATACATATATTAACATACCTGAAAGATACCTGAAGGAACAGAAACTTGCGTGCCAGTCCCTAAAACACACAGAACTGTAGAATGAATAATGATCTATGCGAATATAGACATATATGGATTACAACGTGGGACTGTAAGTACACAGAATTAGTCATATAAGAATGCAAGTATCAACAGAAATTAAATCTACTTAGTACAACTAAAGGCTTATATTGTTGCATCAGCTGTGTAAGTTGAGGAACAGTAAGGGGAAAGGGGGCCTGTGATTTGTTCACACGTAGAAAGGATTTCATCATATGATTGTTGGTAAAGGAGGCTAATTAAACAGTAATTAGGGTATCTAATAATTGTTCACTGGTTTGCTGGTGCGTCTTGAGGGCTTTGTATGCAACTGGAGTTGCACAGGTTAGGTGAAGCTGTGAGGCAATTAAATGAAAGCAGAGCCCGGTGTGGTTTTGTATGTGAACAAAGTTGGTTCTTATCCGTAGTGGCAAGCTGACGAAGAATGGGAGAAGGACTCAAGCCTCTCTATGTGCTTTGCTTTCACCAGGGCCAGGCTTGGTATTGCTGCTGCTAATGACACTGGGATGGGGGAGGGCAGTAGTTACTGCTGGCAGCCCTCTCTAGCAGCAGAAAATAATGTCTCTTCCTCTTTCCTGGAAGCAGCAGAAGTGGCAAGCTTGGCTCTTTACCTTAGCCCAGTCACAACTCTGCTCAGAGATCCAGGTGGATCAGGAATAAGAACTGCCTGTGCAGACAGCAGCTGCTGTATTCAATACCCTGGACATATCTGGGAGGCATCTGGAGTGAGGAGGGGGCTGCATGAGTTTGCCCATAATCTAGCATTAGATCTGATGGGGAAAAAAAAAAAAAAAAAGAAAAAAAGAAAAGAGGGTGACAAGAGGAAAAGGAAACACCTGGCCTCCATGCAAGCTCCTAAACCAGCAAGTGGATCTTCTCTTTGTCCATTCAAATGTCATTGCCACCTACCTTGATTGATTCCTTACTCCTTACAGTCTCTTTTCCCACTCACAGACCCTTGAAGCCCCCATAATGATTTTTATCCAGGACTTTCATCAGTAGGAAGCATTAGGATGAAATTGCTGCACTCTTATCCCTAAAATTTTGATATAGCTGCTTGCTTTTTTTTTTGGTCATCTATATCAGCTATCTCATATTTTCTGTCTGGTGTCTGTATTCTGCTTTCACTTGTCCTTTGCATCCTTTCCTAGCTGTCTGGCTCGTCCCAAATTCTGTCTCGTTCTGTAGTTCCTACTGTCCCATTTATGAATTAGAACAAACTCAGTATGAGGCAGACACTTGGCATAAGGTTGTAGCTGCTGTCTTTATAGGCCCTGGTATAAAGAAGAAACATTACATCAGCCTATGGAATGAAATGGGGAATCACAGGAAAAAAAGTATGTCCAGAAGAGCTCTGTGTTCTTATTTAAACACAAGTACATACATACTCTTGCAACAGAAGATTCTTATCCTCAGTTTTTATCAGGAATGATGATCTACTGATGAGTGAATGCAGATACACTCTCTGAGGTTTCAAGGTTTCTGACCTCTTAAAATTTGAGCTTCTCTAGAGAATAGCTTAAGTTAGATCAGTGTGCTATTTCATAAGGGAGATGTAGAGCCAAATCTCTGTAGTACTTGATGTAAATCAGCCCCAAATACCAAAGGCTGATGAGTTTGTTACCTTTTTTTAGTGTTCCCTTGAAGGGAGTGGTAGGTTGTGGGGGTCTGCCTTAATGCTCACTTTCCCCTCTGGATACTGAGAGCTTCGGGACAGTTGAGTAAGGGACCCCTCTGCCACCTTTGATCAACACAGTCTGACCATCACTGACAGCCCAGAGTGCGGTTTCTTCCTCGGCTCGGCTGTCCCGGCAGCGTTCCTGTGGGCTGCGCATCACCCGCGGCTTCCCCAGAAAGGGGGGATCTAGGGGGAACTGACCTTCTACAGCAGAAGGGGCAGAAGTCATCATTCCATCCCTCGTTCTTTCATCTTTCCCCATCTCTCCTCCTCCTCGTCCTCGTCCTCTTTGTTTTTCCCGCGGCCGCGACCCGGTCCCCGCTGTGAGGTGGCCTTGCGGTCTCTCCTTTGAAGCCCGGCTTGGGAGGAAGAGGAGGGGTGGGGGCGGGAGCCGGGGCCCTTCTCCATGGCGAGGCAGGAGCGGAGGAGCCTCCTGAGGGGGGAACCCGGGCGCTGACTCAGCAGGGCAGGTCAGCATGTTTTCCCGGGAGCACGGTGTCCCCGCTCTTCCCGGGCGCCTGGCTCCCTGCCCTGCCCTTCCCTTCCTTTCCCCCGGCAGCCCAGAGACAGGGCAGGGCAGCGGCTTCGGGCGTTTGGGGTGAAGCGCTGGACCCCGTCCCGACGCCGGCGGTGGCCCCCGTGTTGTGGGAGTGGGAGGAAGAGCCCTCGGGGGTTGCCCGAAAGAGTGGGGGGCCGAGGAGAGAGAGGCCGGGGAGAGGAAGGTGAGGGACGGCGGGTCTGGCTCTGGCTTTGGGGGCCCCACTCCGGTCGGGAGGAGGGGGGCGGGTGAGGCTGGGCGGCTGCGCCCCTCACTGAAGGTAAAGAAGGGCCGCAAGTGAGCCCCTCTGGCTTTTCCCCTGCCTCCCTGGGAGGGGATGAGTTCTCCAGTTTGCTCTTCCCAGGAGGTGGGAGTGCTGGTGCGTGGCGAGATTTCCCTCGGGAGTTCTCCTTTCTCCTGCCCTGAAGGGTAGTGCCTGGTGAAAGCCAGCCGGGTTCTCCGGGCCTTTGCCATTCCCCGCTCACGTTTCGGTGGGCCTCCTGCACACGTTGTCGGTGCCAGGAGAGGCAGATCCTGAGCAGGCATTGCCCGCATGTGCGAGCAGAGGCTCTCACGGAAGCTCCCCAGCAGCCAGGAAGGGGCGTGCAGCTGGAAGTCAGATTCTGTGGGCAGGGAAGTTTGTAGCCAGCTGAGGGCAAACCTCGTCTCATGTGGAGTACTTGCTTCCTTTTCCTAGTTCTCTCGTGGTAATTCCTTCTCTTGAATTTTAGGACTCTGTGTGAGCAAAATTCAAAGCTGTACACGTGTTCCTAGAGTAAGGCTATTCATGTCATGTTTTCGGCTGTCTTCACTGAACACCTAAAACTTGTATTTGGTAGAGCAAATATGTCCCTCTAAGGGAGGAAGGAGGCAGTGAAAGAGCTGTTGCTTGCTCAAGGGAGGTGGTTGCTCAGAATTTTCCATATGAGCATTTCAGGACTGATCTTGTTTAAAATTATACCTTCAGTTCTGAATTGCCTGTCCTGTCTTAGTGAAGGATTTTAAAAAAGTATCAGTGTCTCGTTGCCATAATCACTCATCAGGCTGGGATTAGTTATTATACTGTCATTCCATAATTAGCTGTAAATCATGCTGTATTGTTTCTCTTATTGGAAGGTTTCCAGATTAGCAAAGGTGTTTATAATAGCTATGTACCCACTTCCTGTGAACTTTCAGGAAGACAGTTACCTGAAGATTTGTCTATTCAGAGTGCCAGAAATGCTCTTTACCTCTGGAGTACCTATGAAAGGATGTATAAAATCTGTCAAGGCCAATCTGTGCTTTTTTCAGAACAAGCATTTGCGTTGATTTGGTTATTGAACTGGCTCAGCTATAGCAGTTAGGAATGATTTTGCGGGAGCTGTATAGAGAGATCCCAGGACTGAAATAGCAGAGGATGCTGCAAGACAGGAATACAGGGCATGAGCAGAGTTGTGTGTATGGAGATAATGGTTTAGAGGTCTGCTAAGGTGCTTCTTGAACTGTTTCAAAATTGAAAGTGGAGTCTTTAGTGGTAGATCAGCAGTGTCTACTTTTGGTTTGGCTACCTACTTGAAATTAATGCATTGGTTACTGTCACTAATAAATCCTAGTTTAGTTTTCAGCATTTTCCAGGCCCTCTGTTTCTCTTTGTTGCCATTTCCTGAAAATAAAGATTCAGCAAGCATACATTTGCAGATACATATTCCACTCCCACTCTGCAGAATTGCTTTTCTTTTTCAGAAGAAAGCTTTTCTGTGATCAGAGTTTGAAGGTCCAATTTGAAAAGAACTGTGTTCTCTTTCTATAGATAGAGCTTAGTGTTTTTTATTCCAGAATTTCAGAATTCATGAATGAACTTTCAAGCAATAGTTGTGGTGGGCCCAAATTTTAGTGATATTTTATAAAAGATAACATAAAATCTGAGTCATTCTTTTGGATTTTTAAAGTCCCTCACCACATTCCTAACCTGAGATCGTGACAGAATTGAGAACATCTCTAAATGAGACCAGTGATTTTGGCATCTGCTGGAGTCATTTTGACAATAGAACTGTACTACAATTAAACGGTAAAGAGCAGTTGCTGCACGAAGTGTTCTGGGCAGTCCAAATTGTAGGGATGAATTTATGCTGAGTGTGCGACAGGACTGGTCACACTGACATCATGTAGGAGCTGCTGGATTTTCATGTTGCAGGTGTGTATTTTACTCTCTTTTGAATGATTCAGGATTCAAACCAGTGACGTGCCAAAGGGAAACACTATAGCATGCAACAAGGCCTTAGGGCATCCAGTTGCACAAAAGTGCTACTTCTCTGGAGATGGTTAGTTGCTGAAAATGAGAATTTATCAAATTAAGTTGTTACCTTTTTAGTGCTCACAGGAACTTCAGTTTTATAAAAGAAATAATGAAAATCTTTCATGTACTGCCTTGGACATACATTTTATTAGTTCCAAACATGCTTCAAGTAAATAAATAAGATAATAAATAAAGCATGTGTTGATGTAAGTATTCATTTAAAATACATTTGCCATCTAACTAGACCAGTATTTATTTAAGGATGTCAAGACTAACTCTTACATCTTGCTCTCATATACATTATGGCTTTAATCTCTAGCTGCATTAAACATCTGCATTTTAGGAGAAATCTCAGGATGGAAGCATTGTGTTACTTTGTTTAGATCAACCTATATACAAGTTACATGATACCATTGGGCTACTACAATAAATTATGAATTGTCAGATAATTGGTAGGCATAGAGACTCTTGGACCTTGTAATAGTCTGTAGCTTCATGATTACAGCAATATGTTACACTTCTGTGCAACAGGGAATGTAGCCACTGGTTTCAAAGCAAGAGTCGGCATGACTTACAGATACTGATCTCTTATCATAGAAGCAGTAGGAGTCATGCATTAACAGCTAGAGGGTTGCAATTGATCTGCACTATATGATCACATAACAAACATGACCACTCAGTGGATAAGGAATTGGCTGGATGGTCACACTCAGAGTTGTGGTCAATGGCTCCATGACCGAGTGGAGAGCAGTGACGAATGCTGTTCCTCAGGGGTTGGTGTTGGGACTGGTGCTGTTTAACATCTTTGCTGTAGACATGGATAGTGGGATCGAGGCACCCTCAGCAGTTTTCTGATAACACCAAGCTGTGTGATGCAGTCAACACACTGGAGGGAAGGGATGGGCCATCCAGAGGGACCTGGACAGGCTGGAGAGGTGCGACCGTGTGAACCTCATGGAGTTCAACAAGGCCAAGTACAAGGTCCTGAACATGGGTCAGGGCAATCTCAAGCACAAACACAGGCTGGGTGAGGAGTGGGGCGAAAGCAGCCCTGCAGAAGGACTTGGGGTATTAGTGGATGGAAAACTGACCATGAGCTAGCAATGTGCACTCGCAGCCCAGCAAGCCAACCGTGTCCTGGGCTGCATCCAGAGCAGTGTGGCCAGCAGGGTGAGGGAGGGGATTCTGCCCCTCTACTACACTCTCATGAGACTCCCCCCTGCAGTGTGTGTCCAGCTCTGGGGGCATCAACATAATAAGGACACAGACCTGCTTGAGTGGGGCCAGAGGAAGCTGTGAAGATGATCAGGGGGCTGGATCCCCGCCCCTGTAAGGGCAGGCTGAGAGAGTTGGGGATATTCAGCTGGAGAAGGCTTCAGGGAGACCTTACAGCAGCCTTCCAGTACTTAAAGCGGGCTGACAGGAAAGATGGGGAGGGGCCCTTTCTCAGGGACAGTAGTGTTAGGATGAGGGGTAACAGTTTTAAACTGAGAGAGGGTAGACTTAGATTAGATACAAGGAAGAAATTCTTCCCTGTGAGGGTGGGGAGGCCCTGGCACAGGTTACCTGGAGAAACTGTGGCTGCCCCCTCCCTGGAAGTGTCCCAGGCCAGGTTGGATGGGGCTTTGGGCAACCTGGTCTAGTGGAAGGTGTCCCTGCCCATGGCAGGGGGGTTGGAACTAGATGATCTTTAAAGTCCCTTCTAATGAAGCCATTCTAAACGTATTCATGGTTGCATTACAAAATGGCGAGTCTTGTATCTTGTATTAGAATCTTGGGCTTTGTTCCCAACCCCATCTACGTGACCTTCATCATGACTTAAACCCCAGTTGTGACTGCTAGTAAAAACTGTGAATGGCATGGAAAGTTTATTAATAGTAGGAGAGCTGCAGCTATCAGTGAGACTGTCCATAGTGCAATGAGCAATGCAATATATGTCTCTTACAGTGTATTGTTTGTGTTACTTTTTGATTTCTCTTCTATGAAATCAAGTAAGTGCTGCTGCTGTTTGTATACACTGCTGCTGTAATAATAACCTATTTTTCAATAGAAGATGTGCAGACAAAAGCCCATCTAATGCGCACGTTGGCTTTGCCAGCAGTGGTAACACAGAACCATGCCTGTATCTTTCCTGGAGGGTGTATTCGTTCTGTTCTAGCACTTGTGTCTGTTATGTTCCTGTCTTGGAGACTAATACCCAGGCTGTGGCAACTGGGGCTGTCCTTTAGGTGCTGATTTCAGTGATATTTCAGAACTTTCAGGTCTTTTTAAGGTGGTTCAGCTTTGAAATCTGATCCCAAAGCTTCCTGTGAGACCTGTCTGCATTCTGCTGACAATCTAAGATAGAGGAAGAACTTGGCAAAAAAGATCATTCAGCACTTGCACAACAAGTTGTGAGGAAAAGTGTGTGTGAACAGAGACAGAGCAATCAGGGCCAGAAGCTTTTTGCTGTTATATCCAGGATGTTTGCAGGTGAGAAGTGGTAAGTTAAGACAGCTCAGGGACTCTCACAGGGTATGACAGCTTCCTCATAGGCAAGAAGTGGTCTGGGGAGAGGAAGCATAAGCAGAACACAGCAGAAGGCACTGCAGGCAAGCACTGGCATCTTGACCCCCCCCCCCCCCTCTGTCTCTTGCAGGAGATCTGAGGAGGGGGTGTGCTGCTTCAGTGATGTTATAGACTCACCCACCCAAGGCTTTCCATGTGCTCTTGCTCCTGCTGTCCCCAACAAGGTAAAGTCAGTCCATGTTCCTCTGGCTCAGGGTTGGAATGTGCCTTGAACCACTGGGCAGAAGAAAGGGCTGAAAGCAAGCTCGTGTGCATGCATGTGTTATAGCTATAGTTGCCCACTTCCGTGAGAACCCTACACTTATTCATTTAATCATTTCTTATGCTATACTGTATCAAGTCAGTAGTCTGACCTCTTGAAAGAGAGAAATTCATGATACCTGTCCAATCAGGGTCCAGGTCAAGCTTTTGCAACACAACCTGAAGTCAGTTTGGCTAGTTGTATTGTCCATGCTATCCATTAAGGAAGAATGATTCTATCTTGTCTTCAGTGTGCAAGTAGTTTCTGTGCCAAAACATGGAAGGAGCTGTTTGCTCTGGTATCTGGGTTACCACAGAAGATAATGTTAGCTTTCACAAGTGTTGAATTCTTTTCCCTGTTGTCTTTTCCTTTTCACAGACTGTGGACTTGTTTGAGATGATTGAAAAAATGCAGGTAAGGAGAAGTTATTCTGTCAGACTTTGATATCTCTTGATTATTCATAGCTAAACAAATAATCAGCTGCTATATCTCTTGTCACTTCACTGCCAATACTCTAATTTGGGCTTGCAGAATATTTAGCTCTTCTAGGCCCAAGCTCCTATACCTACTCTTTCAAAAGCATTTCCTGTGCTCATTTTTCCAACCAACATGATGGAAGGAATAGACTCAAATTATATTAATTCTATCCTTTGCAGAAGTGTGATTCTGAGAGAAAATCAAAGTTGCATTAAGGTATCTCTGGCAGCTTCTTCAAGAGACTATGTTTCTGCTGGGTAGCAGCTGCTAATGACAGGCGATTAATGGGATATTAACATAACTGCATTTAACAAGGACAAACAATTTAGTAAATAATTACTGTAGTCTCTATCTTTAACTTGCGCAAGGAAGAAGGGACTGGCTTAATTCTCTTATGGAAATATGTGCATTTAGTTGCATATATTACATTACAAAACTAAAATAGTCTTAAAGGGGAAAAAAACAGCCTTGCCCTACCAAGTAAAGAGATAGTAATATAATGATATGTTATATATCTAACAACAAAATCCTTAAATTTTTCAGATGATCTGTTCTCAGAGCATCCTTACAGACTACCAGTATTTTCTCTAAGAGGTACACCTTCTTTAAAATGCTGTGGTTAACTTTCACCTAACAGCATGTAACACGACACACAACTCCTCCCTTTTATTATCTGCAGGAATAAAATTATAAGAAACAATTAACTTTTTTTTTTTCTGGAATTTGGCTGATCAAATTATGGATATGAGGAAAATGCAGTAATTTGGTAGGATTATAAAGGTGAGGAGGTGGAAGGTGGCAGCAGAATGCTGATTATTAGAGTTATGAGGCTGAAGTACTATTTGGCAGATGAGAAAGGAGAAGTAGGGGAAGGAGGGGCCTAGGAGTGTATCTTCTGTATATTCATGTGTAGACAGACACAGGCCTTGTTTGGTTTTGGTTGGTTTTTAATTTAACTTGCTTTGTAACCTGACTTGCACTAGGAGAATTAATAACTGCTGCTTAAGTATGACAGCAATTGTTTTGAAAGAAGGGAAGAACTATGTTTTCCAAAAGAAAAAACTCCCCACTCCAATATTTCTTTTTATTATTTGTTGTGATCTTTCTTTATATTTTTCCTAATTATTTATTCTTTTCTGGTTTTACTTTCCCTTTCCTTCCATTTCACTGTCTCTCTTTTAGATTTTTTGAATCATTCTTGAAAATTAAATTTGGGATTTTCATTAGCAGTGAAGTGAGGAAAAGGCAAAGCAGGAGACTTGAACATTTCTCCTGTAAAATAACAACAACAAAGACACAGAATTAGTTTGTGAGTACTTTAACAATCAGGTTGGAGTATAATTTTTTGACTGAAAATTAACATAACCATTTTGTACTATGTGTGATGAATTCACAGGTAAAGTTGTGCTCTCTTTTTAAACTGAAACCTGTCCTTGAGATCTGGGAATGAAGTTTGCACACACCCCCTGCCTTTTTTTAAAAAAAAAATCTTAATAGTCATTACTTGAAGAAAATGGGCTACTGGGACATTGCTCTATGTGTACAGATATAGTGAAGTCACAGTAAATACTTTGTTAAGGACACTTAGGGATACATTGTTCCTAGATTGCTTCACAGTTCCAGCAGTTAAAAAGCAAGCAAATCTTATTTCAGCCAATAAACCCAGATGTTTCAAGTCTTCATGTCCTTACATAGCCAATCCCTCTTCTCTTACCTGCTTTTGTCTTTTATGGTGTGTTGTTCACTACCTCTATTCTGCATTTGTACAGTTTCAACATATCTTTCAGTCTTATTTTCTCACAACTCCTTTAATGTTTTCTTCTTAGGTCCACATTTATATCTAAGTTGTCGGTTCTGAGTCTCCTCAAGGTACTGCTCTTTCCCCTTAAAATACATGTGTTATTGTAGCATTGTTGTGCCATGTTGGACCTGACTGTAGGTCTGGACAGCTCTTTTTTTTCTGCTATCTGTTCTTTCATCCTGCTCAGGCCTGTCTTCCCTGTACAAGACCCTGGGAATATCAGATTCCCAGACTGATGCTGTCTCCAGTACTGCCCAGGGGGACAGTGAGGGAGGGCCTTTTCTTAAAGGTGGTGCTGCAAGCCAAACTAGACCAAACCGGAAGGGTATCTCAACAGGTAGCTGAGACTGCTATACTTTATGCCTGTCCTTTTTGAGGAATGACAGGGATCATCAACCAGTTGTTCTGCCCATGCTTTGACACTTAAACAGCTTATGCTGTACATTCCCTGCAGTCTTGCTTAACCTCTGAAATAAAGCTTTGGACTATACAGACCAGGCCTGTGTTCAATCTTTGCCCATATCTTAAGCTTCACTCTGGAGGAGAGGTTGGTAGATTTAGGCTTATGTCTTCTGCTACCAGGAGCTCCTTTAACACTGCAGTTATGGAATGTGCTGGCACGTTCCTCCACTCTTTGTCGAGGCTCTGATAAAAACAGCTCCTTTACAGCAGCCTGGGAAGTTTTCCCTCAGGCCTCTCTTGAGATGCTGGCCTCCTACCAGGACCTCCTTTGAAACTGGAAAGTTTTTGCAGTTATTGGATCTGCCAAAAATGCCAGGGAACAGGAGAGAGATCTTACACAACTGCCGTTTCCCAGCCTCTGTTTGTGTGTGCGGAAACGCCCAGCGCATAGCAAGTTTGTCATGGTACTTTCCACAGTTCATTCTGGAAGGCATGGGGATGCTTGGGGATGCTTTGTACCTATGTGTCCCTCCTGTCTTCATCCTATTTTGATAGAGCATAGGACTTGTTGCCCCAAAGAACTGTTCCAGAGACCCCTATTTCAGAACCTAGCTTTCCTCATGAGACCCAACACACTAGGTCGACAGGTGAAACTCCAGATCACATCAACAAAACATCCATTTGCACTTTGTCATGTACTCCACTTTCTTGTATTTATGACTTCCCCAACTGCAAAATGGTTACTTACTACCTCTGGAAAAGGTAAAGATTACTTGTCAGCCTCTGTTCCATCTGAATTTCACAACTCGCTATGTCCTGGTAATTTGTTGTTCATTCTGTCTGTGCTGTCATTGCAATTTGAAACAAATCATCTGATTTCCCTATGAAGAATAGTTCTAATTTATTCAGGCTTTGTTTTTGAAAATGCAAATTTAAAAAAAAATAAATTGGGGGGGGTATCTCTCTCTAAGGTCAGCTTTTATAGTTTGATCCTGTGTCACCCTGTAGACTTTTTGGCAAGCTTCTTTCTCCTAATATAGTTAAGGAAAATATTTTTTTTTTACTATTGTTATCTGCAGATTGTTCCTTACTTGCTTTACTGTGTTTCTATATTTAACCAACTAAAACTTGTTGTTAATGCTATTTTTTGAGGTTTTGTTCAGACCTGTGAAGAATACCCTCATGCATCTGCTACTAGTGTCCCTTACCCTGGAGTTTAGCCATACCGGTTTACTTTTGGTGTTTCTAAGAGATTTTTGAAGGTGTTATGTATTTGTTGTGAGCTCAAGGTCTGGCTCCTCATCTTTTAATGAAGGTTATGGCTCATTTTTCAGGTTCTTTTAATAACCTTTCTCATTTTTCTATAACCTCATTTTTATGTGTAGTGGATACCTTTTTTTTTTTCTTTTGTTGCTCCTTCAAGGAGCATCCTGGTCATTATTAATCCTTGATGTAATGTTACTATTGTTCAGTGTTAATGTTGCTGTACTGGCAGTTTTTTCACCCTATAGGGCTGAGCATTGGTGCCAAACTTTTGCTCTTGAGCTTCTTAAATCTCCATAGCAGAGCTCCACTGAGATTTACATATTTCTACCAGATCCTAGTTTACAAGTTAGTTCCACTGTCGAATACTTGTATAGACATAGCTGTTGTAAATCAGATCCTGCTCATTTTCAGAACAAAGTTGAGAGCTGCTTATCCTGTTTGGTATCCCTTATTAGCCAGTCCATTAACCAGTCATTGATGGTATATAAAAAATGTAGTCTCAGCATCATGTTCCAGTATGAGAGTTAACAAGATTTAGGTGACAGTAATTGAATACTCATGTTTGAGTATAAGGGAAAGCTACAACTTCAATCCTGGTCTTCAGCTTCCAGTGCAAATTTTGCCTCTTACTCTTCTGTCTATATTGATGCCCACTGGGACTCTGGCCAGCATTTCATGCAGCCTGTTGGCCCCCATATCTTTTTAGCTTCTTGTGTTCTGGGCCACTGCTCAGTCTGTATTGGGGCTATTCTCACTAAATTTTTCCTGTTGTGTGCTTCTGCTGTGAAAGTGTGGTGGAAGAGAGCTACTGTTGCAATAGTGAGAAGGCAGAGGATAGAATAGCCTTAAGAAAAAGAATCAAGTCTGGATGCCAGCTGCTGTTTCAGGAAGTAATTAGGCAACCAGTAGTCTTTTGCCCTGCCATTCCAACCCAGCTCACATTAACGGTGCCTAGGAAAGCAGATGTTCATTCAAGGCTTTGCTATGTGGCTCCTTGCTGCCTGCAGAAGTCTGTTGCACTAGTCAGATGAATAGATGGAGAGCAGCTCTGATTTTCTGTCTTACCTCCAAGAGACAGATTTGTTCCTTTATGTGGATGGAAGCAAGACACATCATCTGCTTAATAAGAGATTTAAGCAAGAAGACTTAATAAGTCTTCTTGCTTAATCCTAATCCTCAAAACAAGTGTTTGTTACTTCTCTTAACCCTGCTCTGAGGTTCTTTGTGCTCTGCTTGACAGTATCTTCCAGGGAGAGGGAAGAGTAGAACAGGAATGAATGGTCTGAAATGCTGTTCTTTTGTGTTCTGACTTTATCTCTTCCCTTTTTTATTGCTTGGGATAGGAAGTAGCTAGAAGAGATTAGGGAATTAAATAAGAGAATCAATTTGGGAGATAGTTGACAGAAATCTAAAGTATTCTGCTTTTTAAGAAATATAAGGTGGTGGGGGAGCTTTGTCATTTTTAATGCCAAACTAGGGGACTGGCTGTCACATCCCTCTCAGATGAGGGAGACAAGTGACTCAGATTCTCGAATCCCTAACAGAGTGGACAATGGTGAAACAAGTCTCAAAGTCCAACCATTTATTAACTACCCACAGTGTACTAACTGAACACACGATAATTGGCTAAGTAAGTTGTGGTAAGCGATACAGTAAGCCTTGTATTTCTTAATAGAAAAAGGAAAAGAGGGAGATAGAGAGAATAGGGAAATACAGATCACCAGTCTGGGTTTCTGTGCTGATCCTGCCAGTGAGGGTTCCAGGAGGCAGCTGTCTTCTTTGCTTCACTGCACGCTCCAGGACCCCCCTCTCTTTCTCCCCCTTGATCTATACACACTTGGGTCTGTCCCCTAGGTACACCCACATACCTATGTATCCCATGGATGGGAGGGATGAGGTGTTTCATGGGATGATGTAATTAGCATGATCATGACAGCCCTCGTTAGCATATTGAGATGTGTTAACTTTAATATGCATTTTGTGGATAATGAAGCAAATGTAATTCACTGGACAGATGGCCCTTGAAATTTGCCCAGGTGCCCCAGAGCAGAGCCATCCTGTCTCCACAGGGCTCCCTCCTCCAGCTGCATCTTGTGTTAGTGGGACAGCCTTATCAGCTTTGACCTCCACACTATCCAGCCCATGACTCATAGTTTTGTCTTGCGAGTGTTTGAGGCATTCCTTCAATCAGCCTCAATTTTTGCTTTCTCGGGCTGTTTTTCTTAGAAACCAGGCCTGTGAGAAACTTTCTCTCACACTGGCCAAGTTCTAGCTTTATGTCTCCTGTTTATTCCAAATTTTCATAAACTAGAAAATTATATAGAGAGACAAAATATTAATATTTGGCATACAGAGAAGAACACAGAGGGTAAGTGAAACAGACATGCTAAACCACAGGATTCACTGTCTGTGACTTTATGTTTGCAGGGAAGTCGTCTGGATGAACAAAGATGTTCCCTTCCAGCTCCTCTCAAGGTCAGGCCAAGTCATTGTGGCTTCCTAAATTGCTGAGAATGACAGATAATTATTGACCTGTCTTGAAGTGTATTTTCATCTTGGAGTGAACATGGTGCCTACAAACAGCCCAAGAACACACATATGCTTGCGCTGTTTGTTTTTTATTTTTTTCTTATAATGTTGCTGCACAAGAGGGTGAAACTGTGTAGCTGAAATAGAATCAGTACTTCCCTTTTTCAGATTTAAGTGGTTATTAGCAATCTTAGTTTTTGACCAAGTAATTTCTTAAATTTAATTCAGTGTAAGAGTCATAATATTACTTGTGAAGCCACATTGCATTTATTTCAATAGTCTGCTTGAGGACTCATATAGATGCTACTAGGAAGCTGGTTTGTTTCCCTCAATATCAGGCCAATAAGAACAGATCCCCATCTGTAAATTCTCAACTCTTCCTCTCCATTCCTTCAGTCTCAGCTCAGGCACAGTAACGTTAAAATCAACCTTGACCTCGAATTTAATCTTGGAATGATCTTTAAAAAAAAGCCACATAGAGAATTGATACAGCTCAGTTCTGACAGATAGTCAGTGCTCTTTGTGATGATGGAAGGGACATCCAAGAGGTATAAAGTGACTCAGATACTGCTCCTATTCCTGCAGTAATGCCTCAGCACTGCTCAGCTGTATACTACAGGTCTAGCTATGGAGATGATACAACCTTGATCTCAGTGTAAATAACAGTACTATTTCTACCATCCCTACTGTCAGTCTCTATCTGCAGAAGAACAGCAACTGTCTAACAGTGTGAGGAAGGAAAGGAGAGAGACTGTTATTCCTAACCTCATCCAATTTGCTTCTAATTTGGCTGCCTCCTCATTTTGCATGCCTGTATTCTGTGTAGTTTCAAGGAGGAAGGTGGGTGAAATTGAACTCCTAAATACATTGTTCTCAAAGTTCTATATTATAATGTTGAGACTTGGGAAATTAAGTCTAACCATAAATCCTAAAGTATAACTAAAGATGAACTAGGACAGAATGGAAGCTGAGGGCACAGCTTGTGCCATCATGAAAGCATAACACTTTAAAAGATGTCATGATTTTTGCTATTTTTTTTAAATTTCAGACAGAAGAGGAGTATATTCCTTACCCCAGCATCCATGAGGTGAGTTAGTACTGCTCTCCTCTGTTTTTCCTTGGACTTTATTGGCCTTTCAGCTTGTTTACCTTTCAGCTTTCTTGTTCTCTGTCCTCGTGAATAGGTATTACAGAAAGGCTGGCCATATCCTCTCATTATCTTACCCCAGTTTGGGGGCTACTGGATTGAAGGGACCAGCCACAACCTCTCCAGCTTGAGTCCAACTCTGTCTGATGTACCTTTTCCCTGGAGTGGTAAAGTGAAACTGGAAAGTGACCCTACAGCCAAGCTGTACCGCAAACATTTTCTGGGAAAGGTAAGAGTTACCTTCAGAGCCTTCTCTGCCCACCCAGCCTCAAGGCTGAAATGTATCTGAGGCTTTTTCTGATGGACTTGGAGTGGCTGTGCAGTTATGTCTATTTCACCTCCTCATGATGCCTTGGACTAATGTAGATAAGGTATATGCTACCATATGGTCTTAGTGTGTTAGCTTGGTCCTGTCCTCTTGTGGTCTGTTCATTAACAGATGAGAAGGATTTGCACAGGAAATGCTTATGTTTGGTTAAGAAGGTCTTTTGAGACTCCTGGACAGATGCCAACCTTGGTAATAATATTGGAAATGAAGATGGTATTATTTTTAGAGGGGACTTCAACACTGACTGTGCAAGCCCCTCAGTAGTAAGCTAAATGGTCCCTTTTCCTTCGTGTAGATAAGTAGTAAGTACAGTCACCACAGAATATGTGTGAAGAATCTGGACAATGTGTTTTACAGTTGTTTGATTTAAGTAAGTTTGGTGCTAAGTGTTTCCTGACTTTAAAAATTGCAGTCTGACAGATAGGGAAACAGAACTTGACCTCATGAAGTGGATGTTTGGTGGCTGGCTATTAAGGTCCATCTGGGTTGGCCTGTGAAATGCTGGGGCTTCAACCCCAAGCCCCCAATTAAGGTTGACATATGGGTGATTCCCACAGCCCATCACAAAGGGGGGGTGAGTTTACCTTTAAGCTTCCCTCCAGGGTGTGGCTGGCCTTGCCAGGAGAGCCATTGGGTAAATGAGCCCGAGGTGTCCTGCATTAAGTAAGCAAAGGTCAGGTGTCCCACTTAGGGATAAAAGCTGGGACCACTTGCAGGCAGGGGCAGTGTCTGTCTGTGAGGTGGGTGTCCTGTGCAGAGTTTCCTGTTGGGGAAGGACCTCCTGCCTCCCTGGGACTGGGCTCCAGTCAGGTCTGGCCTTTGTAAATGTGGGCTGTGTAAAGATTCAGTGTGTGACTTCCTTGGTCTTATGTATTTGGCTTGTTGACTTGGTTGTCTCCTGTTCCTTCTATGGGAGACTGTGTTTCACCATTTCTTCCCCCCATTGTTGGTCATGTGGTGTCGTTGTTGGGGTCAGTGGGATTGATGTTGATTATGTATAATCTGACTTGTTTGTACCCCCAGCGCTCACCCATATACTGACCTTTTTGTATCAAATACAATTTGGTTATTGGTTCATCTTTATGCTGCCTGTGTCCTTTATGCTAGGCCTAATAATTGGCAAAACAGCCTGTTGATTGGTTTCTAGACTGGATCACAGGATGATAGTAATCATCAAGGACAAGTAAGAACAAACACATTGGCATAAAGAGATAAGAAAGCTTCACTGGCACCTTATTCAGTGATCTCCTACTGCGACTGCTTAGTAAGTTCAAAACTAGGAAGAGGTGAAGTTTTGATCAGTGCTGCTGACCTATTCTGCAATAGCTGGGCTTGTCTGTGTGATCTTGTGTAGTATGCAACACTAGAAACTACTAATAATATAATTTATATATAAAGTATCCTTCCTGGAGGCTTCCTCTCTAGACTGACAGATCTGCTGTACAGTCTGCTAATGGACACTTATCCTGTGACATTCTGGAAGCTTTCAGTATGCCAACTGTAGTTATCTTTCTGTCATGGTAAATTTAGGGTTGTGCTTGAAGGTTTCCACGGCCAGCTAGGATGAGAGGCAAATTGGGGTATGATTGTAGGATTCGCTGCTGACCTGATAGCACAGAACAGCTGAGGTTGGAAGGGACCTCTTGAGCTCATCTTGTCCATACTCCTGCTCAAGCAGGGCCATATCATCATTGTTTGTTACAGGTGAGATACAGGAGTTCCCATATCATTGGACTATAATACAAAGTGCTCAACCACCACTGCTTCAGTACTATAGAAGAACTCCTATCTTCTTCCTTTTCTACAGTGTCAAGTGTTTGGTTTTTTTTTTGTCTTGAGATGAATGTGTGTCTATGTTCAATTAAACAAGCAAGTTTTTGAGCAAGCCAGTGTCAGAAAAGAACAAGGTGAACAGGACTCATCACAGAAAACTCTACCCATGGGTAGAAAACTTTACCCATAGCTTAAAGCCTTAGGTAAGGAGAAAGCTCAGAGCTTTTCCCCACTGACAGTATTTCTTCAGTGCAAAGTTGGAGAGACCAGTGATTCTGATGCTTTGTGGATTAGGTCCTGTTCTTGCTGATAACATGGGGAGGTTATGTCAGAAAGGTAAAGAAAGATCTCTTGCATGCTTTGAATATCTGCAGACAGCTCTTAGCTGAAGCAGAGTCCCTAAGCATCATGCGATGGGAGAGTCATCGCCAGTGGTTTAGGGAGTGTCCTTTAAGCAAGATTAGAGTGTGTGTGGTATTACAAACTTAATATGTATGTCTGTGTTGTGGGTGTGCATATACTAGGTCACTCAAACTCAGAAAATTATTTTGATTTTTTTTGCAGAACATCTTACAGAAGAACCTATAAAACAGCCATCAGAAAAAGTGCTATGACATACAAGCCATAGCTCAGTCCATTTCTTTGTTTCATATTCTATATCTTATATGAAGATTACACAGTAGGATTAATTTTGCCTGTAGGAAGAAGGCTGCAAAACCTTATGTCTTATACTGTGGGAATTATGAAATGTCTATGTTGTTTCTCAAGACTAACAAAGAGAAGTAGCTTCAAGCTAGGAAGGATTTAATAAAGGTATACATTGGAAAGGCCAGGCAAAGAATCTCAGGGTGCAGTTTCACAAGCACTTGAAGCTGCCAGTGCTGATGAGAGAAGCTTTCTTGCCATATATTCATATGTGGTCATGTATTTCTCCATTATGTTGTCCGTTCTTTGTTCTGGTTAGAGTATTGTTGCTGCAGTGCTGGAACTGTTGGGGAACTTAGTCAGTGGAGTCCTCTCAGCAAAAAGCACTGCATCTGAAGTTATTACTGTGTAATTGTAGCATAGCCTAGAACAAAGAGATGGAAACTCTATAAAGCAATCAAAGGACATTTTATTATTAGATATAATTGTAATGATCTTTTATTATTTTAAAGTATCTTTTTTTTTAAATTACTACAGGTCTATGCTTTTAGTAAACGTGTTCTGCGAATTGCTGAGACTGTAGGTGGTCTTATATTCAGCATCATTTTCCTCTGGTATGTGTTTTGGAGCTTGGTCCTGTTTTCCTGTAATGACAAGCTGACATCAGCCCAAGATTTATTTATTTTTTTTTTAAGTTTTGTCTAAGCAGAGGTGCAGAGAGGGCCTGCAATGAGTCAACCTCATTATTTCAGTACCAGCCCAGTCTTAGTGGTACTGTGTTCTGCAATTGCCAACAATGGCAGTAGCTTCTAGGTCCTTGTTGTCATCTGACTGGCAAACACCACCTTAGACTTTTCCAAGAAGGCTTGCTGGAATAATAGTCCTGCCTACTCAGTATTACAACTTTAGTTATTTATCACTGTTGATATATTTGGATGTTCAGGTATTAATATCTTCCTGCAGGTCATCACGTTATCATTTAGCCACCAAAGCTGCTTTTCTTCCTTCTTCAGGGATGAAATCTTCCCATTATTTTACCAGGTGACCAGAGGTTGCCAAGTTTTTTCAAAGTGGTGGTGGTTGTTTTTTTTTTTTTTTTTTTTTTTTTTGTTTTTTTTTTTTTTTAATTTTCAGTTGTCTTGAAGGAAGAGAATGGGCTAATGAACCCATTTTGAATCCTGTAAAGATTTCTTGGCTTCCTATGCTCCTGTTGCTAAAAGAGCTGATGAAACATATCAGGTACCATAGGAAAGATGTCTTTTGTCTGGTTTGTTCATTTTTGGTGCAATTGCTGTTAATGAGTAGTGAAAAATAACTCTATTTTATCAAAAATAACCCAAGTGGCAAAGAACATGGCAGCTATCTTAATAGCTTTATAATTTATAAGGTAAACTGTCAGCACTCCTTGTGTATTCTGTTAGTATTTTTCCTTGGTCCCATGGAAGATACTTAAGTGCTTTTACAGACATCTGTTTGAAATTCAGAACTTCCTTTCAGAGTGCCTTAAATGTTACAGAAACTACTTATATGGCTGCACAGATTCATACCTCTAAGTCATCTAAGCTGCAGGCTATCTTGTCACCACTGAATTGCAATCTTCATTATTAACCCAAAGCCTTTTGGTGGTTGATCTCTAACATCAGGACAGCTAACAACAAATGCTGTTGTATGTTGAAGGACTGAGTCAGCTGCCTTCTGTTACCTACATGTTTTTACAGAGAAAGAAAATCACAGAGGAAAAAAAAGTCATAATGAGGAAATTACAGTTTTGTTCAGGTGTATGATTACTCAGATCTCAGTTGAAAACCCAGGCTTACATTCAGGAAAAAATCTAGGTATCCAGAGTAGCTTTGACAAAAATTCAGTTAAGACCTCCACTAATTCTGGTGCCTCTTCCCCTGTGAAGATTGCACCCCTTTGTGCAGCTCTGCCCAGTTATGCCAGCTGCAGAGCTGATAGCCTAGTCTTCAAAGCAGCTGAGATCCCAGTGTGTCAGACCTGCTGGGGTCTGGCTTAGAAGTCTCATCAAAAGGCGTCCCATTTTCTGGTCTTTGCAGCTCAGTGTTACTTTTTGTTGCAGCTAACCTCAGGCTTTGGCTCCTATTTCTTTGTTCTGCCTTCTAGTCCCAACTTTGGTTGGCATTGTTCTTTTTCCTTAATAGCCTGTCTTGGGCATCCACCCTAATATATGAGTTCCTTGGTTTACAGACTTCTTTTGATTCTAGACTTCAGCTGACCATTGAGCATGCTCTTGTTTTGCTCCTTGAATCCATCTATTCCTCAGCTGCTCTGTCTTTCTGCCGTTAGTCACAGTGATTGCTGTACCTGATTCTTGTTCACATCCCCAAAATCTATTAGTAGACTAAAAGTCATGGTCAGGAGAAATGAGCTGCTCTCTCATCCTTTGTGGCTTCCTTTGATTTCAGCATTTCTTCCCATGTACAGATAAGTTTGGTTGCTACTATTAGATTGTGTGACAGATCACACTGGAATTCTGTGATTTGAACACTTCAGCTAGAGGCCATATTAATCTGTTTGACCGTTTGCTGCTCTTTGCTTATTATACCTTACATTTTTTAGGACCCACTTGTTCAGTCTGCTTCAGCAGAAGGTGGAATATGCTAGCACAAGAAGCCATGGAACTTTTTCCTTATGTCAGTTGCAGGGCAGTTGTGGATGTTGGCTTTCTTCTGCCTCAAAGAGGAGGTGAGGACAATGATATCTCTAATAGAGTTCAATATCTTTATCTTCACATCCAGGTTCAGGGTAGTGACTGTAGTGTTAGTTGTTTGGTTGGTGGTTTATTTTTTTCCAAAGAGAGGATTGGTTTATGTCTGTTGACTTCAAGATGTCTACATTCATATAGGTATAAAGAGTGTTTCACTAAATGTGTCTTTATTTCACAGTGAATCAGAACTATGGCTAATACAAAAAATTGTTCAGATTTTTTCCACAGCAAAAGGCAATCTTGTCAGTGTGTTGAGAAGGGTTGCAATCCAACAGAGATAGAACAGACCTGTATTTTCTAGGCAAAAGTCTGAGGAAGAAATTGTCAGACTGGCAGCTCTTTTTGATCAAAGTACACATTTTGCTCCCACTGAGTCCTTATTATTTAATTTATTGTGTCCAGAATATTCCCTTCATAGAACATGTTGCAAATCATGCAAGTTTGGACTGTACAACTTAACTTACTGTCCCAGTGCACAACACTTTTGTGTCCTTCACAAGGATGCATTTATACAGTGCTTCCTGTGATGCTCCCTCCAAATCTTGCAATCTTGGTTACTGACTTTATGTTCCCTGACCATCTTCTCAGGTTGCAAGTGACTTTTTGATTTGACTACTATTCTGGTGGTAGAACAGCTGTCCTGGTTTCAGCTGGGATAGAGTTAATTTTCTTGAGCTGGGAGAGAGCATAGCCGGCGTGCCTGACCTTGACTGTGGCCAGGATAGAGTGAACTTTCCTTGTTACAGCTGGAGTGCCAGGCCCGGATTGGCTATTGGAGTATTCCATATCATATGACATTATACTCCATATATAAAGGATGTGGGTTCTCTCTTGTTTTGGGTCTGATGGCAGTATCTTTGTTGTGTTGGGATTGCTGCTGGGAGCGGGCTGCTTATTGGTCAGCAGCTGGTGAGCAATCACGTTGTGTGTTACCCGTTTGGACTTCCTACTGTTACCATTGTTTTGTTGCCATCAATAAACTTTTTTTTTCAACCTACAAGTTCTTCCTTTTTGTCCCTCCCCTATTTTGCCAGGTGGAGAAAAGCTGAAGCAACCAGTGTTCAGCTACTGGCCAGGTTCAAACCATGACAACAGCCCATTCATTATTTGCAGGGGAATGCTGTTTTATCTCTCTCCTCCATTTAATCTGACTGTGCATTTAGGCTGAGGAGATCTATGTCCAAACAGCAAAAAACCACTTGTATACATCAGAACAGAATCTGTACAGACTAAAATGTATGCAGAGTGCTTTGATTATAGCTTTCAATTTAACTGATGATGGACAACACTGTCATTGGAAAATATATCAACAAACAAGATAGCAGTTGGTACCTCTTCTCTGTGAAACAGTTGACTAGTGGAATTTGGGAATCAAGCTTGCCAATAAAGTCTGTGCATTTTATCCCCTGGGAGCATCTGACTTCTTAATGAGTGGACAAAGCTGCTTTTTCCTACAGAACCAGAAGTGGAAAATCCAGCTGGGTATCCTGAGATGCATCATCTAGGATTTGGAAAATCCCAAGAGTTGTCTACAAGAGATACCAAAAGAAAGCCTTGGTGTTAGTTTTCTTGTTGTTTGTGTGGGGTTTTTTTTGTTTGTTTGTTTTTTTTTACTGTTGTCTAAACTGTTCTACACTGAAAATCTCTGTGGACACATTCCTGATTCCACCATTAGCAGATTGCTGTATGACTTTATCCTGATTTTTCATGGTCTCAAGGCAAAGGAGGCACTGATTCTGTCTGCTATAGGGTAGCTGAGACAATTCTGGGTTTGGGATTCTTTTTTTTTTTTTAATTTATTATTATTGTGCTGAGTCTTACCCCAACTTCCATCACTACTAGCTCAGAAGTACTATACCAATCTTACTATATTCTCCTGGGTTGGAGGCTAAATACTGGAATGTACTACTGCCCTTTTCAACAGAAATAACAAGAGATTAAGATATCTAATCCAGAGAAAATTGGATCCCCTGCATGACATTCTCATTGGTGTCTCCTTCCTGCTTATGTCTCAATCAGTAGTTCTGGACTGTTTCATGCAAGCATGAGTTCAGTCTCAGCTATCTGGTTAGAGTAGCAGCCAGCTCCAAATACTGATACTGATTTTCCACCAGGAAGATGAGAGCAATCCAAGCATTTCTGTATGATACCCCATGCATAGTATTCTCACTGTCCTACAGGTTTCTGTTCACATCTCTTGTCAAAAGGCTTTAACCTTTTGAGGTTAGAGGTTGTATATATCAATATATATATGTTATAGCAATATATATTTTGTATTTTTTAATATATATACCCAGGCCATTGGAACATGGCTGTATACCCAGGATAAATGTATGGCCACAGCGACCTCTATATAGAGCCTGTGAAAATATTTGCATTATGGCTCATTGTTTGACTGAATGACACTCTCTGTTCAAGGCACATTCTACCAAAGCTCAAGCAGTGTTAGTGGCACTGCTGAGCACAGTCTTCATCTGCAAAGTAGTTACCTGGAGCTCTGACTGCATCCTCTCTGAGATGTGAGTGCTCTTAGAGATCAACTGTTTGGTATAATGATCCTGTCATTACTGTTTGTGTAGAAAATGCCCACAACCACATCCAGCTGAATGTGCTGGAGACCACTACTTAGTCATGTGGAGTGTGAATGGATACAGGAGAAGGCCATGAAAGATACAAATTTAGTTACAAGAAACTTGATTTCTTCAAAATGTATTGCTGAATGTTCTTATCCTGTTCCTCTCAGGAGCCCTTCTGATGATGGACAGCTGAGGAGGAACTGAATTGACAGTGAATGAACTTTGACTGATATGCTCATGCATTGATCATCAAGGGGGCTGGGAGACAGCATATACATGTGTTCAAGCATGCCATTGCTAGTAAAGAAAACATTAGCTAATCTTCAGTGGCAGGTTGTGTGCAAAAAATGTGTTAAACTTCTCTGGGAAATATGTTGGGAATAATGCATTCTCTTCCGATTTTCAGGAGCACCAGAACTTTTACTCCAGTGACATGTCCTTGGGCTATCTGGTACTTTCTGTGAAGTATGAACAGAGTGAGAAACAGGAAAATCTGCGCTTGTTGCTGAGGTAACAGTGCCTGTTGTTGAAGTGTATGTTACTGTGTGCCGTGGTCTAAGACCACAGGGCAACTGAGCACCATGCAGCTGCTCACTCTCCCCTTCCCCGTCAGGACTGGGAAGGAGAAAACAAAGTAAAAAGTTCAGGAATTGGGATAAGGATAGGGAGGTATGATTCGCCCATTGCTATCATGGGCAAAAGACAGATTCATTAGGGGAAGAAGAGAGAGTATCGATTTAATTCAGACAATAACAGCAAAACCACTTCACAGACAGTAGGACAATGAGAAGCATTATCACATCTTAAAAATGCCTTCCCCCCACCCCTCCATTCTTCCTGGGCTCAGCTTTGCTTTTGATTTCTCTGCTTCTTCCCCCTCAGCAACTTAGGACACTGCCTGCCCTTCACCAGGGTCTGCATGGGGGTCTCTGCTCCATTGCACCTCCCCTGCCTTCTCCTTTCTTCCACTGACCTCGGTGTTCAGAGGTATTCTCCTCACAACTCCTTCTTCTCCCAGGTTCTGCTTAGCCTGGCCTTGATGCAGAGGTGGGTCCCAATTGGATCTGGGGGAGCTTCAAGAAGCTTCTCACAGGGGACCACTGCTGTAGCCACCTCCCCTGCTACCAAAACCCCTGCCACACACACAAACCCAGCACCTTGTGCTGTGTCTCTCATCTTACCCTGAGCTTCCTCTGTGTAGATGTGAGTGTGAATTTCATGTCTTTCTTCTTGAGAGGGCTGCAAAGAAACCTTTGAGCTCTGTTTTCTTGCCTTCCACTCTGAGTTTCTTTCAGCAGTTTCCTTCAGGAAGCTGAAGTGCTGTTTGCAGGCACGTCTTTATAGTTCCTGGGTGAAAAACATCTGTTCTTCCCTCAAAAATAAAGTTTTTCTGTTTACTTAGAGACATGTGAGTACATATTCTTTTGGAGAATATGGTTTTCCTGATGGTGGGCAGCCTAGTTTCCTACTTGAGATTAAGTGTCCCTCAAAGGTGAGCTAGAACATTCCTTAGCCTCCCAGGACAGCCTGTGAAGTGCCATAACCTTTAGGACTTCCACAGAGAGCCACTACCTAGAGAGAACTGCTGACTGAACTAGAGGAAGATCAGAGATGTCTTGTGTAGGTGAGAGGCATGCTGCAAAAATGCTTTTTACCGCACAATGGACTGGGTGCGTTTCCACTGTCTGATGTTCTGGTGTCAGCTGCTGGTGACAAGGACTCATCCAGGACTGAGGGAAAATACTGGTTGCATTGGAGTTAGCTACAAAAGAATCACTGGTGGGTTTCCTCCATTATATGTGGAGAACATTTCAGAGTGCCAGGCAAAGCAATAATCTGGGGCAAAAAAGAGAGTGCCTATTCGTGAGCTGTGCCAGGGAATGTTTATCTGAGCCCAGAAATCTTCCTACATGGAAGTCTACCAGTCTACCCCTACAAAAGGGTAGTAATTCCTCCATTTTGCTTAGTGAATTGTTTATAATGGTTTGAAGAGGACTCTGACAACCCCCCCAATATTTCTTATCCCTCAGCTTTTCTCCATCAGCTTTCTGGAACAATGCTACACCAATTTCTGCCTCCTATGCTTTGCATAGATCTTCTTTCCTAGGCTGTCTCTTACAGACCTTTTACCAGTCCTTCAAACTCTCATTGTACGATTTTATGAATCTCTTTTGATACTGTGTCCATGAATTTTATTTCAACATTTAGATTTCTGTGAAAGAACATGGTGGGGGAGAAAAATATTTCTTTAAGCAAGAAAATAATGCAAAGGAGCAAGAGACTAAGCATCCCCGTTTTGTCTTCCTCTGCTTCCCACAAGAAGTGACCTCCCTTTTCCAAATTGTATGCACCAGGCCTGAAATTAGTCCTTTGGAATTAACTGCTTTAGAGATAGTCTGAAGGAATGGGTACTCTTTCTTTAAAGAGCCAGTGTTGCTTATGTTTCCCTTCAGCCTTTATTCTAATGCATTTTTTTGTTGTGTATCAGGACCCGGACTGGCACCAAACATGACCTGATCCCCATTTCTTGTCTGAAGGAGTTTCCCAATGCTGTCCAGATGGCGAAGGTGAGATTTATGCTTGCCTGTGCTCTTAATGCCTCATTCTTCAAGTTATTTTCACCTCTGTCCTCCCATTTCCCTCTTCTTGACTATTCCCCGATAGTACTGTCATATATTTCCATTTTACACCTCAATTTAGCTTCTCTTCTTTGTCTTATATGTTTACCTCAGAATATTTGCCTGAAGGGGCTCCTGTCAGATAATTATTAACAGTCCCTACGCTGTCATGCCCACAGCAAGCTAGGGCACAGGATAATTACACTTCTGTTTCCCTTTCTCTCTCTCTCTCTCTCTCTCACTCAACAGCTACTATGTGAGGATGTGAATGTTGAACGCTTCTTTCCTGTCCTGTACCCCAAGGTATAATGTTTTGCTATGTCTGTACATTCCTTTTCCATCAAGGTCTGGCTAATGATGTCCAACTGATAATTTATATTTTCATTACCTCAGGCTTCACAGCTTATTGTTGCATTTGATGAACATGTCATAAGCAATAACTTCAAATTTGGGGTCATCTACCAGAAACCTGGACAGGTAAGCTCCCTCAGATCCCACAATACTTAAGGCAAAACACAAAGAGTCAGCTCCCTTAGCTTAAATGGATTAACAAGGTCTGTACTATCCTGTGAAAAATACAGATGTCGATCAATTTGATCAGGTCCCCAAAGTTGGTTGAAGTATGTATAGAAATTACTGCCTGTTCTTTGTACTGCTTGTGCTCTTTGACTTCTCCTTTCCTTCTGAAGACGACTGAAGAAGAAGTCTTCAGTAACACAGAAGAGAGTCTGGGTTTCCTGGAGTTCCTGGATTTCCTTGGTGACAAAATTCAGCTGCAGGATTTCCGTGGGTATGTACACAGCACAGTTGGAAGGCCAGATTGAGTTGGGTAGCATCATGTGTTCAGAGTCTGCAACTCTGTTAAAGCCCTGGTTTCAGAAACAGCACTGGTGTGTCCTCTGAATCCCAGTGCAGGTGGAGGAGCCCAGAATGCTTTTGTCAGCCATCCTGTCTGGGAACATGTTGGAACTTAGGTCACTCAATTTAGCTCATTTTCAATTGAAACGTATTTTCATTTACAGGTGTCCTGACCCACAGTGTCAGTAAATATTTTTATTTGTCTGTGTGAATGTAAGTTTTTTTTCACAATGGTTTGAGTCTATTGTTTTAGTTTCTTTCTGTGGGGCAGCCCATTCTTTCTGTAGTTTTAAAAAATGGATTGTGTTTCTCAGAAGAATGACAAAAAAAATGTTCATTTGAGGATCCCTGGTTTAGCTTTATAGCTTTTAGCAAGCATGTATGTTCATCAGCAGAAACATTGTGCAGCTTCAGTCAGTGTATTTGTTTTGGGACGGTTTGGTGTCTCACAGTTACTGATATCTTAAAAATTACCTGTCGTAATATTGATGTACCAAGCTACTATTATTGATACCATCTTTCTTCTCTCCACTTTCTCATCTCTGTCCTGTCTGATCTATGGTGTGGTATGGATTTGTTCAGGTTCCGGGGAGGCTTGGATGTTACCAGAGGTCAAACAGGCACTGAGTCAGTCTACACGAATTTCCGGGGCAAGGAGATCATGTTTCATGTGTCTACAAAGCTGCCCTTCACAGAGGGAGATTCCCAGCAGGTATTGGAAGAAGAACTAAGGAGTACAACAGTGTGCCTGAGAGGGGAGGGATATTTGATGAGGGACTGCATAGAGGGGAGAATACCTAACTGCATAATGTTGGGAATTATGGCTGAGTAATGGTAAAAGTAGTGCTGAGGGGTTTGGTTGAGCAGATGGATTGGAGATGCTATAGGCAGATGGGTGTTTGAGGCCCCATCATACTGTTCTGCTCTTTTTCACCTTCCTTCTCACTTTATTCGCTCTGCAGCTTCAGCGGAAGCGTCACATTGGGAATGACATTGTAGCCATCATTTTCCAGGATGAAAGCACACCTTTTGTTCCTGATATGATTGCTTCTAATTTCCTACATGCTTATGTGGTAGTTCAGCTCACTCATGGCACCACTGGGGACACTCTTTACAAGGTAAACAGAGTCAACAGATTTCTCTGTACTGATTTACTGATATTGATCCTTGAAATCGAAACCCATTCGTGGGCCTTTGGGAGAGGTACAGGTTCATCCAGCTGTCATCTGAATTTAAGTATCTACACATGAAACTAGAATGTAGTTGTGTATTTTTCAAAGCAGCTGATGCAATTCTGAAGCTTAAAGCTTGGGCAATAAAGCGGGACAAATTCAGATAAAAATTTTTATGTTCAAAGAGCATAGGATGTAACTGATCCCATTTTGGGGGATGTCTTGCTTGCATTATGTAAGCCAGGTAAAACTCACTCACCTGTCTGACAGCTTTGTCTGCATTGCACATGCTGCACATCACAATGCTGAGAGCTTGCACTGCCTGAGACTGCAGGTCAGATGCAGCTGGTTGGCCTAATCTGTGGAGCCCGAACCAACTACGTCTCCTTTAGGGTATCCCAGAACTGATGCCCATCTGGCAGGGAAGTGCTGCCTATTAGGGCCCTCCAGCTGAACAAAGCCATGCTAGAACACACATTCCCTCTTTGCAGCCTTTGGACACAGCCCTTTTTCTGTTGCATGACTGTGTATGGATGTCTGCATAACTGTGTTCAACTTTGTCATGCTGAGAGAACAGAAAATATATAGACGCTTGCGTTCTGTGGTGGATTTTCTGTTGTAGAAACATTTTAATCAAAGTGCTATGTCTTGTATTACGTAGGAGTTCTGATTTGGTGATGATGAGTCCTTATGACTTGGGGGTCTACAAGAACATCAAGAATTTCAAAATTGGCACAGGATCCCTATCTCTTCTCCCACCAAAGAGGGTGCTAGGGGTGGAACTACCACCTTCTGTTGTTCCTTATGCTATGGGCAGATGCGTCTGTAGTGATGCGATAGCCTCATGTTGATCAGGGCCATAGGATTTCAGTTCTCCTCTCACTTGCTGTTTTGTAGGGAGCAGAAATTCACTGGATTTTTTTAATGACGAGAAAGAACTGGGGAACTTGCCATTTTCTTGTCTCTTCCTACTATTGTTTTCATCTTTGCCTGTCTGCATTGTTTTTGTCAGTGTAATAAGGTTGCTTGCATCATTTAATGAAAAACAAATCATTCTAGTCGGGACCCTAGAGCCAACGCAGAGTTTTCTGTAAAGGCTTTTCCAAAGGGGTTGTAACTCATACTGCCTTGAGAGCATTCTACTAACTAAGAGACTGCAGTTTGGGAAGATTTTCCCATTCATTGTTCCATTTACTTAAGCTTTAGTGCCTCATGATTGAATTTGAATATTAATGGCAGTTATTTCTTTTAATCAATTTTTGCAGTTAGAAAATTAAAAACACAAAGCAGGATTTTATCTGGTAGGTATCTGTTGGGAGGGAGAGGGAGGCCTTGTAATTAGAGGAGCTGGCCTACAATGTAAGAAATTTAAACTAAATCAAGTGCTCCTTTCCTCCTTCCTATCATTAAACATCTGCCTCTCATTGGCTTTGTGACATTTACAATGGTGTGTTATTTTGAGGCAGTTGCTGTTAAGTTGTTCTGACATTGTTCCCTGTTGTATGAAATGGCAAATAATGATATTGTTACATCTCAAATGTCACACACACACACACACCCCCCCTGTGAAATATTGTTAAGTGCTCTATGTATCTGGTAAGATGGCTGCATGTAATTATAGGTAAATGCTGTGAGGAGCCAAGTGACAGTTTGTAAAAACTGGACTGTATTACAGTTACATTTTTTGGCACTGGTATGTCAGGTGGGAGCATGTTTAAAAAAGAAAGCATACATTTCCTTATCTCTTACTGGGAAAGTGCTGTTATATGTTTACCACATGTGACTTGGAGATGATGTCAGTGAGGTACTCCACTCAATGTGCAGTGTATCTCCACTGAGCATTCTCTGTCAAAAACAATAGCTCAGTTCAACCATATTGACAAAGGTTCTTCTAGTGGGGGTAAATCCTGCAAGCTGCGTAGAAGCATCTTAATTTTTTATTTTAAACACAGTTTATTATTAATATGTATTAAAATTTTTTTTTTTAGGAAAAAACTTTTTGTTGCACTTACTGTGTGCACATCTAGCTGACTGAATTTCTGGGAGATAAGTCAGCACAACCATTCACTGAGTTCAGAGACAGATGAATGCACAGGACAGCATAGTAGATCTCTTCTGGATATGTCAGTGATTCATGAGGGATCATACCTACCATAGTACTTTGAAAGCTTTGATAGTGTCACTTCTGTTATACTTACTTTATTCCCCTTATTGTTTCAGGTTTCAGTCACAGCACGAGATGATGTCCCCTTCTTTGGACCCCCTCTGCCAAATCCAGCCATATTTAGAAAGGTTTGTTGCTCTGGTCCAGTGTTAGATGACAGGGGGATATGGTACACACCGTTGTGTTCTGAGTCATATTGTCATTGGCTAGATGACTTTGGAGGTCTGAAGAGTAGTAAGGCAGAGCTTTTCTCGTATGATATTTTTATTGCTGTTTTCATTTCTGGCCCTCATCATGTCATGTAGAGTGCAGAGTTTCGTGAATTCCTCCTGATCAAGCTCATCAATGCTGAGTACAGCTGCTATCGAGCTGAGAAATTTGCTAAATTAGAGGTGGGTCTCTTAAGTGGTTGTTTCCATTAAAACTATATTACTGCCAAATCAAGGAAATACAGTATAATTTTTTACTTTCTTCTAATTTTGTGTTACTTAAAGGAAAATGGAATGTGATTATACTCAGCCATGTGATGCTTCCTTTGTATTTCACAGCAGGCATGGCAGAATATGAACAGGTACATTCTAATGTAAAGATCTAGTGCTGAAATAAGAATTGGAATACGATGCATACATTTTGCTGGAGGAAATTTTTTATTAGCTGAAACTCAGTATTGTGCTACTGGATGCATACTAATATCACTGATTTTTGTTTCAAGGTACCGAAATTCTGTTCCAGACTCTGCTGCTTGCCTGATCTAGAAAAAACATGCCTCTGTTTCATCACCTGTTAAAAAAAAAAAAAAAAAAAAAAAAGTACTGGTGTCCTTTATGACTACTTGTTTTTTAAACAGTTTAAAATGGCTGGGTATTATTGTAATATATTCCAAAACTATACAGATAAAACCACTTCATACTGTTTAAAGTAATTTTCGTGGTGATTTTTTTTTTTTAAATTAGGATGTGAGACACTGCAAAAACAGGAATAAAAAGAAAAATCCCTCCACTCCCAATAACAGCTGTTTTTCATTCACAATGTTGATGCAGGAAAGAACCCGGAGTGCCCTCTTGGAGAGCCTTTTTGAGGAGCTACAGCTTCGCAGTCGCAGTATGATGGGATTACCCATAGGGGAGGATGACAAGATAGAGAACGGCAGTGGGGGCTTCCTTGAGAATTTCAAGGTGAGCCATAGTGGATTGATGCTTTATCCAGTTGCTCACACTTTTCTCAAGCTCCTTGTGTTTCACTTCAAGGAATATTGATCCTGTTGATCAGCTGTGCTTAGAGTAAGACAGAAAAAAGTCTTTCCATCCATCAGCCTTTCTTTAGAGCACTTTCAGCTGTGCTTTACTGTACCTCTCAAGAGAAGACATTTTTCCCCTTCCTATGCTCCTTCCTACAGAGCCTCAACAAGGTCCAGGGTGGATTTCCATACTGTCCCTGAGAAGTCAGATGTTTCATGCTGGTGCTGGTATCTAGTGTCAGATAGGGTTTCATTCCATGATTTACAGAAAAAGGAGTGTTAGTAAGAGGAACTGTAATAACTAGTAGCAAGCAGATTTCAGTCCTTACAGCAGATCTCTTCCAATTAATTTTCATTATAACTAAAAGAGTTAAAGAGCCACTGCAAGAGTGTTTCTAATATATCTGTTAGTGTACTGTCTAAAAAAGCTGTGTACTTTACTTACTCTCTAAAAGCCAGAGTTAATTTCAGTATAGATGATGCTTTTTTATAATAAATCAGTAGCAGGTGACAAAACTTACATTTAAAAGTGATCGATATGGTATGAGAAAGCAAAGGTTTTGTATGAATGGGAAAACTGAGTTCTGAACTGATTATATAGAGAGAATCTTATATGACTTTCCTATCTACTTCCCCTTTCCTGCTTCTGTGAGAAGTGCCTCACTGCTTCTTTTGTATTCTAAGTTATCTGTCTGGAGAGAGAGATGTATTATGAATAGCACTTCTTCAGATGATCTCCATCTGCTTTGTATGGTGGGCTGGTTAGAGTCATTAAGGGCTCTGAAAGTAATTCATTGATATATAGGTTTGGTAGCTATATGCATAGCTTTGGTCCAAGCTGGGATGCTTTGGCGAGGTGTGTTTTTACTTACAATCCGTCTACCCTGCCTTTGCTGCTAACCAGGAATTTCATACCCATCCATGTCTTACACTAATTAACCAGAAATGTCCTCTTCTGACTTCTAGCAGATGCTGTGATTTGCATGTCATGTACACAGATGAGCTTTGTATAAGGCTGGAAAACGCTGAGTAATCTCAGAAAATGGCTTTTTCGCGTGCTGCAGATTTTGATATGGCTGCTTCCCCTTGAAATCAGCACTCAAGCTTGTGCAAGACTGAGCCTTACAGTCTTGAACCGGAGTTTGATTTCGTGTTTTGTAGCCTGTAGTGAGTAGGACTGCTCCAGCGGATGCTGTCCTACCCACTCTGCTGGGATACTAGTGTGGAGTCTCTATTTACTGCAACAGGACAAGGGAAGTGAAAGTAGAGAATATACTTGAGGAAAAGTTCTTCCCTGGCAGTAAGCTCCATGAGTCGGCTAGGACCAAAAATGGGTAATATCTAAGATGCTGCCTTCTACAAGTTAGGATTTCTGTGGTTCTGGCGTTGGTGTCTCACAACTTTCCACCCAGTCTATGGTGCTTTTCATACTACCCTACCGTGTGCATATCTCCATGTGTATCTGTGTTTGTCTGTTTCCCTGCCTCCCTTCTGTTCAGCGGGTGATCAGAGGCCGCAGCCAGAGCCTGGATACCACAGGGATATCCATGAGAAAGCAGCAGCCAGCCACCCTGCCCAGCCGCCCAGCTACAACTGGCCTTGCCCTTAGTCAGAGTGTCGCCGAGGGCCCTAAGGCCATTGCTGCGGTAAGGTTCTTGGGTGGGCTGTAGGAAGAAATCCAACATCCCTTCTGACCCACCCAGACATTTTATTTCTCTTTCCCTATTAGTTTGTCCTCTTATACTTCCATGAATCTCTCTCTTTGTATCCCATTTCACATGTGGTGACAGGATGTGTTGCAGTCGATTTTGTCTGTGCCTATCTCTAGCCCCAGTTCATCTGTAAACTAGAGCTGAGCTTGACGCAGACTGGGAGAAGAAAGCCAAACATGATTCTACATCAGACATCTATCTCTGCTATCCTGGATTATATCCTGTACGTTGCCATACCTTAAAAAAATGCATGCACTGTGGTTTGACCAGAATGGTACTGAGTTGTCATGGCAAGAGCTGAGAAAATAAGGACACTAGATCCATTTGATTTTCTTCAATTTCATCAATCAGATTATTTTCTGTAATATAAACAGGTGCATGATACTTATTCAAGCTGCTGTTTTGCTGTAAGTATAACTTCCATGTTGGGAACAAACAGCAGAGTTAATGTTTGGGGTGAGAAAAAGTGAATATTTCTAGTCACTATCAAAGCTTTTCTTATTTGATAAGGATACTAAACATACGTAATCAGTGTGAGCATAATAAATCCATGACAAATGTTTCTGGAAGCAAATCTGTATTCCTCATATTGGAGGTGTGGTTCCCATGGCCAAAGTACATCTAGCTGACTGGTCTCTGCACTAGTGATGTCAATATAGGCAAATGACAAAAACCCATCTCTGAATATGCCCTCAAAGTGCCTTTCAGTGTGGAGATTTCCTGGTGACAGTTTACTCAGTTGTATGCATTCTTTATGTCAGCACAATAAAGTCACAGAATAGTAATGACTTGAGTTTGCTGCCTTCTCCTTTCCTTTAACTTCTGATTTTCTCTACCCTTCTGATTCTGCCTCTCCTTATCTCATTGTATGGGATACCTCCCTTCCTGAGCCTCTTTCTCTATATACAAGCTGCATATCTTGCTCTGCTTTGTTTCTCTGTCTCCTTCTCAGACCGTCTTTGTAAGCCCTAGCTTCTCTTTCTCACTGACAGAGCTCCTTCTTGCACTGGTGAAACTGAGCTGTGCTGTTGCATTGCTGAGTAAAGGAGAGGATCTGGATCTGTGTTGCAAACTCCTCCTCCCATGTTTCCAGTTCTCCACAGTTTTTCATGTCTTCCTCTCCTTCCTTTCTGTCACACTTTCCTTTTTTCTAGTCTTTTGCCTTGCCTGGTAGGATCCCAGCACATACCCGAGCCAGCCACTTCCATGGGCGACGGAGTAGTGCCATTGGCATTGAGAACATACAGGAGGAAAAGAGGTATGGGCTGTGGGAAGATGAGACAGAAGTTTTTTTTTTTTAAAAAAAAAAAGGAGATGAGAAAAGGGAGATGAAAAGGCATATATATAAAACCAGAAAGGGAATTGACAAGCATGAGAACTGAAATGAAAGTGGATGGAATGGGAAGAAAAGCCTGATTATTGGCTAATGGAGAAATGGACAAAAAAACCCAGAAAAAAACAAAATTAAAGACATTCAAAAATGGGGATAGTCAATATTTGAGGATAAAGGGAGGAGAAAAGTGGAAGAACATAGTCAGATTGCTCTTAAACATTGTGCAGTATGATCCAGGACTCTTGATTCTCCTGTATTCGCTACTTTTAGATGTCAGATGATAGACTTTTACTCGGGAAAGGGGAATTGGGCGCTTGATTGTTTATCTGTTTTCATGTGAAAACGCTAAGAGATAAAACTTCTGTTATCTTAAAGGTTGTTTTTGAAAAAGCTCCAAGTCAAAATGACTAGTGTTTAAGTTAGATGGCCTGAGAAATAATTATAATTAAGGGGTGACATACAGGTTCAAGGAGTGATTTGGCATATTTGACAGAATGATAACCGCTCAAAAGTCTACGAGTCATGAGAGATTATTTAATTAAATCAATAAATTTTAAGATTATACAGAATCTCAAAAGTCACATGAGTGCTCTGCATCTAATACACAGTTTTCCCAGTTGCAAGAATTCCAGTGAACAACTTAGAGACTCAGTGTAAAAGCAGAAAATCACTAGTTTAATGTGGAAACCAGTGACTTCACAACAGGAAGGATTACTCCATTTTTCTCTTCTTCCTAGTTATTCTCTTGGATCTTTCCTTAATGAGGTGTCAGTGACCTATTCTGAATAAAAATAAAGAGCTTTCTTTGATGAAAATAAAATCTTCCAAGGCGACTTCCCTGTTAATATTCTAAGCCACAGCTCCTCACTACTTTAAATAGTTTTGTACCTTAGGCAGTTGTGCCCCTCAATCCATTACTTTATGTACACAACATCCTTCACTATCCCCTTACAAGATCTGTAAAAGTTTTCTACAACAAGGAAAAATGCTGGATTTATTTTCTTTTTTTTTCCTGCTCTTTGCTAGGAGGGAATTAATAAGCTATTGGGTTTGTTTATCTTTTGCTTATTCATAATCTTAGATATGAGGAACAGTGAGCCTTGTGTTTTGTGAAAGACTTTTTGGGTGATTCTTGAAGGTGCAGTTTCACTAGCAACTGGTCTGTTCTAACAGTTTATTGCTACTGAAGAGCACAGATACCATACCGGCCCTCTCCCAGTGTTTCTTTCAACTACCCAGTCCTGTCCCATTCCTTGTGATGGCTCAGATGCTTCATGACCCTTCATGGAACTGATTTAGCCCCATAATTTAACAGAAAAAAGTATCAACTTTCTTTCACTGGTTTAATTGTCTGCTCATAGAGAAGTCTGATGGGTACCAGGGCTGATGGGAGAGCAAGAGTGAAGGAGGCTGGAGCAGGCGCTCCAGCAACAGTGAGCTCAACATTTCACGTGTGACTTCATCCTGAAGCTGTAGTTGAACAATATGCAAGATTCAAAGACAGAGCTGACCCAGTCCATCCTGCTTGTTCATGTGTTACAGAAGTTTCAAGGCTGTTCTAGTTTCATGATTGTTTTTTGTCAGGATAATTTCCAGTCTCACAAGCAGTTGTATTAGCACAAGTGAGGGTATGAGGATCTGTGATGTGAGGGGTGCAGGTAGGATCAACTGTCCGAGAGAGCAGAGGAGGAGCTTTGTGAACTCCGTCACTGAAGCCACAAAAACCCCCACCAACGAAACCCCAAGTTTTCCAATCCTGTATTAAACACCATACTATCCAGTTACACAGACAGCTTTCTTCAGAAGTATCTTGACAAGTACTAGTAGCAATAAAACTATTGTAATCATCCTGAAATGGGATTTGCTGAATCCTTTTTTCTTTATGTGAAAAATATATAAGCTCTGTAATCAATCCTAAATCTTAAGACCAATGAAATGAGGAGGGTAGAAGGAAAAGGAGAATACTGAAATTAATTTAGGCATTTATATCAATTCAAAAGGAGGTTAAGGTTGGCCATTTCTATCAGTTCCTCAGCAGGTCAGATCTTAAAGTGTCTGCCTTTATCAACGCAACTGCATTTGCTTCACTTTCACGTGCACGTGAGAGATCCAGCTTTATACTATGGCTTGTAAGGAAGTGTAAGAATAGATAGTGATTCACTCTGGCATTGGGTTATAGCTGGTTTCTCTTTTGTCCCAGCAGAGACACTGCAGAGAGAATACAGAAAGTGCTGGACAGTCCCAGCTCTCCAGAGTTCCCCAGCAGGAAGAGCAAGTGAGTTGAAAATAAATTTAATATTTGAAAGATGCTCACTGTGTCTGGTATCATCTTAAGGGTAGTGCATGCCTTGCTCTGTTGAAGTCCTTACTGAGATTGTTCACATCAGGCATTGCAGCATCTTAGAAGTTAGATTTCTGGCTGTGGCACGGTATACATGCTCTGCATTAAGTGAGGAACTCTGCTTTCTTAAACAGCCAGTGAAGAAAGACTGGACCACTTAGAGGTGGTTTTGGCTGTATCTTTACTGCAATGTTAGCTTGCATCCAACAGGATACACAAAGCCCTAGCTGTCCAATTATCCATGCTTACTCATGTGTATGTTTCCTCTGTAGTTTGCTCTGGAGTGATTTTTGGAGCTTCATGGAGAAGCTTGGACAAGGATATGTTGGGATGCTGGGTTGTACTCAAGTTCTGCCTCTTTAAGCAGGATTCATGCTGCTGCTCCCAACCAGCATCAACTACCCCGTCTTCAGTCCTCCCAAAGTGTTACAGCAAAGTCTCATGTGTTGCTCTTATGGTGTGCTTTAGCAAAGACACATATCACACCCAGTGTTCTCCTGCAAAACGCTTCATGTGGTAGTCTGCAAAATAGTTCTCCAGTTTCTGGTAGTCAAAAACTGGAAAAATACACTTTCCTGCTAGTGCAGCTTTGCTGTTGCTAAGCTGTATTATGGTGGGATATGATATTTTTTTTGTATGAGAATTTGGATGAGACCTGTGGCAAAAAGAGAGATGAGTACTTTGTAGTAGAGCATGTCCTTGCTCAGGACTGGGGCTGCTCTAAGAAAATTTCAGGAGGTGCTCTAGAACCAGTCCTCTATGGTTGTAGTTGCTCCAGATGCCAAGTCTGACAAGGAAGGGCCTTCCTTCCAACTAGACTAATGCTCCCTAAGAATTACAGGCTGGTGACTATCTGCAGTAGTTCAGCTACCCAATTGTATGCTTTAGGACTGTCCAGAATTTTGTCACAGCCAAGGGGCAAAGTTCTGGTAAGTATGTTTTTGTGATACTAGTTGTTGGGTTGGGTGGGTGTCCAAAATGTTGGTGGGAAGGAGGATGGGAGCACAGCTCGGAGATACAGACCATTTAAGATGCTAGCTCTGGCAGCCAAGGACAAGAGAGAATGCAGGACATGGAACTGCTGCTTGGCCAGCAAACCCCATCTTCTATCATTACCACATTGTTCCACCTCCCCTTCCTTGTCCTGACTGGGACCTTGTTAATGAAAAAGAAGTTCCTGGCTAGACATGTGTGAGGGACTCTTGCTCTGGTTGGGTAGCTGAAGTAACCTTGCATGATCAGCAAGAATTCTGTCTAGTAAGAAAAAAATCTCACAGCTCAGTCCTGGTTACCCTACTGTAGTATGTGTGCATGTCTTGGGAAAAAAAAAAAATCATGAAGCTTTCTTGACATCTGTTTCTGATTTCCACATTTGATTGTGGGCTTCCCCTACTTCCCAACCCCCATTCTCCATTTGTCAGCTGAGGAGGTGAGATGGCTGCAATGGCTGTTTCAGATTGGTATCACATGCCTTCAGAGAGCAAACATAGAATGGGATTTCACTAACAGTGATATTGCAGAATATTGTTATGCACATGAGGCATGACCTTTATGATTTGTCAGTCTATCTACTTCTGTCCCCACAATTCTCTCCATGCATCTTTTTCCAGTATGAATTCAAACACACTTGTATGATTGCCAGAAAAAGTCTTCTTACAGTTGTTGTGGTTCAGCCCATTCCTGGACAGTTTGTTTGTAAGGTGGGATGTAGCATAGTGTGTTGCACAATTGGTGATTAGGCAGAGTTAGAGTGGAGATTTCAGAGTTAAGGACTAGCCCACATGCAGTCATACTTTCAGCATCATATCTGGGACAGGGAATCAAGGACATGTAACTTCATCATGTAAAGCACACCATTTTCACCAAGACAGTATTAGCACACTATTGCAGGAACAGGCTAAGAGTATAATTCTAATGGTCTGTCTCGGAGACAGTTCTACTGAAGTTCTACTGAAATAGTCTATTAATTGTTCATTAATTGTGGAACCGCAAATCAGGATCATGATGTAAGCATATTTCTAATGCAGAAAGAGTTCTAGCAGGGTCTAGAGTAATTTCCACAGCCCATATTAAAAATGTCATCCGTCCACTCTTGGTTCTCTCTAGGGAGTAGCATAACAGGAAATTTCTCTATCACAAAAATGTCCAGTGTGTTGCTGCTGGTCTTAAGTAATCATTTCAGATTGCAGATTTGAATGAGCAGACTCTTCATCTGCATTCTACTCAAACCAACCTGGAAATAAATGCAAAGGGAACACATAAATAATAGATGAATTCTTTAATAGTAGAGATAAACCAGCACTACTTTCTGTCCTTGCATGCTGATTTCCAGCACACCCTTCTGCAGTGATCAGCCTGCAATCCCTGAATCCACATTGTTCACTTGGGCTAACAGTGTCTTCTCTCCCACATGCAGGGACAATTGTCCTTAGTTTTTTTGCTCTACTGTCCAGGTAGCCTTCCAAATAATCCTTCTTCCCAAGGGACAGACTCAAAAGAATGAACCCAGCCTAAGTAACCAAGTAGCAAAACTCTTCAGGATCAGATGGCTTTCTGGGTTGCATCTGAAATATCAAGCACTGTACTGTGTATGTCCATATCCTAGAAGAAGTACATAGGATTTTTGTGTGTGTTTTCCCTCCTCAGACACATCTGAGTGGGGACATCAAGCCAAACAGGAGTGGATCGGATGCTACTCAGTCATTGGTTACCTCACTGAAGATACTGGCAAGACTTTTGGGGTGAAATGAAAGTCCCAGCTAAGAGGAACATGAACTTACTTAAAGGACATCAAGGACTGTGAAGAGACCAAGTGGCACCAAGTAACGCTCCACTGGCAGTTCCTGGAGCAGGAATCCTGGGAAAGGGAGATGGACAGATAACTCCTATTGGAGCATTTTGGCTCAGTGCCCTTCTCATAGCCTGATCAGCAGACACTGAACCAACCTCTACTAATGATGGGGAAAGGAACCCACCCTGAGTGCTTCCTGTTCTCTTCCCCTCCCCTCAGATGAGTGAGAACAGCTTGGCCTGCAGAAAGCAAGAGCAGAAGAACATGTTTCCACCTCTGTCTCTAGTGCCTTTGGATGACATAGTTCAGGAAGTGCAATGCAGATAATGAGGATGGAGAAACTTGCTGAGGAAGGATGCTGAGAAGAAGATATTTGTGGAAATCTAGGTCCCCAGCTCACTTTAAGTAATTGATTTGCTCTGCCAAGGGAGAAGCATGTTGGCCTTCATTTCCTCCAAAATATATTTCCTAATCACCTGAGGAAATATCTTTGGCCTATATTGGCCCTATCTTTACTGTTCTCCCTATTGCATGCTGGCATGTAATGTGCCTGGACTTTAGGTTTCGTTACTGCTTGTAGGTCAAGACTGGCCATGTTTTGCAGTGTTTCTGAAGGAATAAATATATTTAGTATGTTAAAAGTGTCTAATCTTTCTTGTGTCTCTTAGCTTTTTGGGGTTTCTTAACATTTTTAAGGACTTCATCTCTTTCTTATTAGCTGGTCTCTTGTGCAGGCAGTGAGTATTTCACCATAAATTGTTAGGCTTACATGCACAGTGCACCTTCCACCTTGTAAGTGTCAGCTTCATGGACTGCTCTTTCTACTAGAAGACTGCAAGCAGTGGATCCCAGATTCTGTGCTGGGAAAAGCTGACCTTAAGGGACTTTCTTGACAGTTATGAAACATGTAGCAGTCTACCTTGCTGTCTGTGACATTTGAGAAAGGGGTTGACAAGTGATCCCATACAGGTTGCTTTGAATGTTCCCTTTATAATGACCCTGTGGGAGCTAAAGGTCTAAAGGGATGGACCTACAGGAGCCAGTCTGCTGGCAACTGAGCACATGGAAAATCACCAGGATGAGCATCCTGACCTAGGTTCCCATGCTGTAAGCGGGAGGAGGGGGGTTCTGATCTGTCTGTGCAAGAGCTTGTCACTTGATCCTAAATAGTTTGGCACTGAGACATTCTACAATAATTCGGGTCTCAGTAATTTGTTTCTACCTTCCCCTTGCTTCCTTAACCTTTCTTAGTTAACCACTCCATAATATGGGTTCATGTCTATATGCTTTCCTGACTTCTGTTACAGCTGTCCAGAAACACAGCAGTAACAGTTTATAAACTCTGTGACATTAAAAATGTGCTTTTATAATCCCCTTGTACTGTTTGGAATTCCACCTAAGACCAAACATGATAAGATGAGAGTGGCAGTGGGAGTGGGTGGCCTCAGTGGGGTAGTGCCTTCCCTCTATACTCAGTTTAACAGCTTATGATGTACACAGGCTCCTGAAATCTCTGATCTCTAAAATGAAGGCATCTGTTGATTTTAATGAATGACTAGAGTAAACACTGCTTAAATACAGGTGGTTTGACTCGCTCTGCTTTGAGACACTTAGGTTTGTGACTTAAAATTCAGTTAGTCTTATCCTTTCATCCAGAATGGAAACAAGAAGTGGTGTTTCTACTAAATGAAGTAGCAACCAGAAATTAAGGAAAGCAAGCCAGTTCCCCTGAATTCTGTTCCTAGGTAGAAAAACTATTTGTAACTTATTCTTACTGTTTCTGACTGCTATATAATAATGCTATGTCACAAGAAGTGCAAGCCTGTGTGTAACAATAAGCATGATGATGTTGAATGCTTCCATTTCACAGACTGCTCAGGAGTCAGACTTCAGGATACTGTGTGATGCAGCCGTTCTCACATTCTTCATCCAATGTAAGCAGTTGTTGTAGTGTTTTGAGGGAAAATGAAACACCTGAGGAAGAGGAGAATGACAGGGTGGGTGTATGATCTCTAACAAACAGGCTACCTTCCCTGATTTTACCAAGTGTCTTATTAAAACACATCTTCTTTGCCCTCTCCAGGAGCTGATGTGCTCTCTTGAGGGCACTCCAAAACAGGATTCAGTGATTCAGAGTATGTGGCTGGATGAGAGTGACTGCACACCCAGTACTTCCAGCTCACCAGGTAAAAGAGAAAGAAAAAAAAAAAGAAAAAATCATCTACTTATGCTTCTAGAAGAATATGAGAGGTTGGGCCGTATTTGTTTAGCAAAATCTTTGTATGCTGTACTTAATATTTGAGAAGCATGGGTAAATGATGAGCTCAGAGAAATGGGGAGAGAAGCTAGCATGCAGACTTTATGCTATGGGGAGAGAATGGGAGGGGAAGTGTGTTTCAGTAGTGTGAAATAGTTCCGTACACACTGCAGAAGGAGTTACAGTAGATTGCAAGGAATTAATGTGGTTTCTGTTTCTATGGAGAGCATGTATCTCAGTGACTGTTTTTCTGAATGCAGTGCCCGTACCTCTTTACAAACTAGATAGTTTCGATATGGGAACTAGAGAAACAGTGCTTCCTGAACACAGCAGTGTGCTCCTGAGAAGGTAGATACCCTGCACTGAGATTTTTGACAGCCAAGTCTGGGCTCTTAGTGTAATAATTGATAAACGTTGAGGTAGTTAAAGTCAGTTCAGATCCATTCACAGTGCAGAGATGATTATAGTTATTAGAAGTTCTCTTTGGTCCCATAGCAGGCAGAATTATGGCAGTATCTGTTGTTGAAGATGTATCAGCTGCCCTGATCTCAGACCCTGTTTGCAGCTGTCTTTGTTAAAATGAACTGGATAGGATTTGAAGCATTTCTTTAGCCCAAAGCTAAAATTATGGAAAATGTGAATCAGTTTAAGTCTGTTGCTGAGAAGGAGGCTGAACGGACTGTGTAAGTTTTTGGGAAAGTATGGTTGGAAACACTAAACCTTTGAGATTTGGGTCATTAGGAACTGTGGAAGGCAAAACTTAACATTTGTTGCTAAAAGATTCTGGAATAGAAGCAGGTGGAGATGGTAAGAGATACTAGAGATTATGTGAATGGCAAGGAAGAGAGTTGGTTGGAAGGAACAGTGAAATCTTTATAGGTGTTTTGTGCAAAGGGACTGTTGAGAAAGATTACAAGGGTCAGAAAATGAAGCCAGTTTACTTGAAGACTCTATAGGTCTCTCGATCTCTGCAGCAGCCCTGTCTGAGATATCAAAAGTGGACATCAGATACTGCCCGTATCTTAGCAACAGCAAGGAAGATGTGATACGGTGAGATGTTCTGCAGAGACTTCTGAGATGTTCTCTAAGATTTTTCCACTTCTGCAGAACAACTCCCAGCATGAGTGCTTATACACATAAGAGAACTCAAGGGACTGGTATTGAAACTCTGGAAGAATGGGAAAAACAAGTGGAGAGAAAGAAGAGAGCCATGTGGTATGCTGTAATTAGGAAGTGGGATGCTATATACAAAGCCTGCCTGTCCTGAGGGAGAGACATAAAGGTGTTAAATGTGGTGATGTGAAAAAGCATCATGTCAGGAACTTTTGCCACAGAAGACAGCTAAGGAGCTGCTATTAAGAGGCAGAAGCTGGGAATAAACTTCTCTAGATCTGTGTGTGGAAGACTAGAGAGTGTCATCAGCTCAGAGCAAGAGTGATAAATAAATACTATAAGACCAGGAGGCCTATGTGGTGGTTTAGGCCCTGCCGGGACCGGAGACCACGTTGCTGTTGCCCCTCCCCCACCCTCAGCCAGTTGGGCTGGAAGTGAGGCACAAACCCCAGGTTAAAATAAGAAGAAATTTAATTCAACAGTGTGATAAATAACAACTTGAACAACAACAGTAGCAATGATAACAACAATAAACAGCAATAACAGTAAGCAAGACAAAAGATACAGAGAGAAATACCGCAAATGGTTATGGAACAAGCGCTGTGCTCCCCATGAGCCAAAGCTACAAAGGAAAGAGAGTTCCTGTGCTCCCGCGCCCGGACCTGATGTCAGCATGGTATGAATACCCTGGCTGGAGATCCCTTCCCCCTCTCTGCTGGGGAAACTTAACCCTATCCTAGCTGAACCAGGACAGCCCACCACTATGAAATTGTCTTTTTAGAGGGATCTGGAAATGACACCATTAAGGCTGGTTTGTGCCTGGTGGTGTGAGGGTTTTCACAGTATCACCATGGCATTATCCAGACTACCATTTCCACATATCTGGTGGGATCCTGAGCAGGTCACAGCTCCCCTCACAAACCTTTTGAGTTGTATTCACTCCTGTTGCCTTTGTGGCACTGCACTGAGACCAGGGAGGTGTGAAAGATGGCTCCCTGTCAAAAGTGAACAAAAGGCTTGTGTTTACTTGTGATGAGAAATCTTAATAGGAGCAGAAAATTAGTGTAAATGCAAACTAGTTTGTTTTGCTTGACTGTCAGAAATTCTGTGGCCATCAAGTAAAAGATTTCATGTTCCTTTTGACCTTGTGGGTAAGTGCAGTTCCCCTTGCCCTCAGTTTCTCTGAGAGCACTCCCAGGCAGAGACATAATGCAGTGCTGTTTTTAACAGTGCTGTATGCCTCCCCTGCCGTGGCCCAGTTTAATCCAAGTGTGATCTTTCTACAAATTCACTTACCACTCCCATCTACCTGCATCATGTAAAGTCCAGTGGAAGGGATCCACTACAAACTTTTATTACATTGCTTGTGTTCTCTCTCCTTTTACCCCTCTACTCATGGACCATTTTCCTTCCTGCATTCTTTCCCTTGCCCGAAAATCCTACTGGATCCTCGAGCTGTAGCTGAGCTATGAAAGTTCACATCCAAGTGCAAGTGCTAGGCCGAGCTCACTCTGAGCTCTCAGCTTGCCACCTTGGGGAAAAGCTTCTGACTCTATTTACTTTCAAGCAGCAGAGTGCTTAGCTGTTCCCCTTTTGTTACAGATACTGGAAGCAAGCAAGGCTGCTTTCCAGTGGCCTCTGGTGCTCTTCTCAGATAGTTTCCCTATCTGCTGACTCCTTATTATTCCACAGGTATATACATCATTAATATGCATCACTGAGAATAATCATTACAGAGAATGTGATGTAAAGTTCAACATAATTTTTAGGTTTTATACACTCTGTTGCCAATGGCAGTGATCTGATACTGACACTGAAAAACTTTAACTGTCGTTTCTCACTACCTTAGTATGGTAAGACAGTGGCATCCTGCAGGAGGGGTGATTTTTTTGCTGTACCATATCCACTCTTGTATCTTCAGTACAGAAATTTAAAAAAAAGAAAAAGGTACATGAATAAACATGCAGGTTTGTATACAGACTTCTGATTAATGCTAGGAGAGCCATGGTTGAAAGGGATAAATGTGGATACTTTTCTGACTACTTGAAACACACTCATCTAATTAGGAGACTGTAGAATCACAGAATCATTGAGATGCAGTCTTGACTGCCGTTGTTGACTGCAGTAAGCAAGCTTGATGATGTCACCATCCACACCACATCCACAAGATTCTTTAAATTTTATTTTCCAAAAATACTGACAGTTCTTGAGCTAGAAAAAGACAGGATTAAGAGGAATTTGTCATGCTTAAAATTTTAGGGAAAAAAATATGGATGATTTCTGAGTTGACTTTAAATAGCACCAACATATCTTATATGCCAGTGTATATCATATGAAGCAGAGGTGACTTCCCCCTAGCCTCAAGGTCAGGATATAAATTCAGCTATAACCCTCTTTAACACTTTCTTGAAGACACTTCTAGATTACTTAATATGCATAGTTGCTTTAGGTGTGTTTTAATTCAGTTAGTCTGTTAGTTGTGACCTACAAACATACATCATATTTAAATTTCAAAGTACTGGAGCTGGGATATATACAACATGGAGAAGAACCCTGGACCTACAAATTCATGTTGTTTAAAGCCACAGTTCAGCAACAAATGGCAGTGATTTACCAGTTTTGTTTTTAAACCTCAGAACTTTAAATTACATCATGAATACCTTTGAAAAACTGCTGAAACACAGTTGCATCTCATTTATTCCCTAGAAAATATTGTTATGATCATGTTCAAAAAGAAAAAAATCTTCCTGTGAAGAACATCTTGGCTTACCATCTTATTGCAGCAGTCCCTCATGAGCTGACTTTTACAGCTTGTTTAGCTTTCCTGATTGAATGGTGGATAGGTATGCCATCAATGTAATTCATCTGCACTTCCTGCCCCCTTAGCACATTCCACACTGTCACCAACTCCCTAATTCAAACTCTTGCTATTTTAAAAGTTGTAACACAGATTTACTGTATTATCTAACATTTTTTGCTATACATATACTGTATTATGTATAGTAATACAGCTATACATAAACTCCCAAAACCAATACTATTTATGAAATTAAAATATTTAATACTTTCAAACCATCCTTAGTGCATAGGATGGAGGGTCACCTAAGAATAAATCACAATGGTGTAAGAAAGAAGGCTGTTACATTAAAGACATCATACTCATTTCTTGTGAAATGTGTATGGTGAATATGATTACAGAAAGCAAGAGGATGTCTTAAGTTTGTGAATTTTGCTAAGTATTTCTTCCCTGTTGTAGCCATGATGTTGATATGTGATGACAGGCAAATTCCTTAAACCCTGAAGTCAGATGTGGGAATCTTAAGACAGTGGATAGAGGGAGGACAAAGAAGAGAAATGCTGTGAGAACATAAGATCAGACTCTGCTTCACAAAGTGTATTCTGAAGGATAAGGCATTCAGGTTGCACATTCAGCAATGGCATTTCTTAGCTTGACTGCACGACACTGTTACCTACCGGAACCTGTATTATTTTAAATTATTTTTTGTGTATAACAGTAGACTGATACAGACATTGAAAATGGGACTGATTGAAACATTTGGGAAAGTTGGAAAATGCCTTCATTACTCATTAGATAGCTGTAGATCCAGCTATAGCTTCTTGCCTCAAGCTATAACAGCTGTGGCACTGAAACACAGTCTGGAACCAGTGCCCAGTGATTTTTTTGAGTGAAAGCCAGGTAGTCACTGTCCTTGTGTTTCAAGCTGAATAAGTAGGTCAAGGTTAACATTAGTCAAGTTGGGTGTAGATACAGTCCTTTCACTCTTAACCTGTGGATGAGCCACACATCTGTGAAAAGTCTGTGGTAAAGCCAGCTATATGTGCAGCTCCTTGGATACCCTCTTGATTATTTCTTTATTGTTCTGTGCTTGGTTCCCTTCTAGGAAGCAGGTTGCTTCCTTCTAGCAGTGTTGCTGGCTCCACTGGGAAAGGAAAACACAGCAAAGCAGATGGTCAGCGCCATAATCCAGTAAGTGCTTTAATAAAACGTTTCTTTTTCACTTACACAGAGATAAGGATGGGAGGAAAAAAAGAGAATTTAGGAGGCTTTGCTTTCTGAGTGTTGAAAGGACAATAAGAAGGTGATTGCAGGGGAAGGTTAAAGCATTACCTTGTTCTGCAGGCCTCCATTTTGTGCTGCATGTGAGGTCATCGCTGGAGGACTGTCTCAGTGCGCACCTGGTGAGGAGCACAGGTAACAAACATGGAGAGGTGCTGCAGGCCCGTGGTTCAGGGTGGAGGCAGGCCCCTGGGCCATCCTTAGCCTCACTGAAAGAGGGCAGCAAGTACTGTGTGGCTTCACAGTAAATAGGGCTAATCCTACACCTTTTTCCCCAAATGATCTTTCATGGCTGGCACACTCTGGGCTATTTAATCAACCTTGGCCCTGCCTTTCTTGGTTACCTGCTCCCCCTCGGGGAACAGCAATTCCTGTTGAGACGCCTCTCTCCACCCTAATAATGCTGTTTTATTTTCTTCTCTTTCTTTGGTTTCTTTTGCTCAGATGCAACTTAGCTTTCTCTGCACCTAACCTTTGCTTCCTATGGTTTCATTATTCTACTGAACCACTTTCTTTTGCTTATTTTGTGACTTTGTGCCTATCTCTATGCTTACTTGTTTGCTTTCAGCCTAGTATTGGTGGGACCCACATCTCACCAGTTACACAGCTTTTCCAGACATGGGAAGTGGGACTCGATCTCCTGGTGAAGTCAATAATAGAGCAAAGGGGAACGCCACTCTAAGTTTGTTCCCTAAAGTTTATAGTCCAGTTTTGCCTGCATCACTGAGTCTTTTTTTTGGTGCAGGGTCCCTTTCCTTGCCCAGTGTGTTCTCCGGCTTGACAGCTAAGCATAGTACCTTGCAAGTGATGCAGATATGAGGCTCTCAGGTTTGGTATACAGCTAAATAGAAGAGTTACTACCTTTATGGAAGGAAATTCTGCCAGCTCCTCCTAAATAGCTGGCAGTTCTTATGACTGCTTAGCATCTGGCCGTGCCTGGTCAAAAGACACAAATGTTTAGATCCTCTGTTTTTTTTTAATGCTCAGCTTTTAACCGCCTCGTGGCAGAGCAGTTAGACAACAGCTCCAACTCCATGCAGTGGTAGCCACTGGCGTTGCAGCAGACTGACACATAGACAGCACATCAGAAAGGCAAGCCAGGTAAAAGCAGCTGGTACTCAGCACTGAGACTACTTCAACTCGTGCTATGCCACTGACTAGTACCAAGAATGACAGTGTAGTTGCCAGTGTTTACTGCGGTAATCACCAGAGCATCCACCAAGAGCTCGTGCTCATGATCAGGTCTCTAACACTGGAGTAAGGTTGCCTAAAGAAGAGGCAGTACTTCCTCAAAGCTCTGCTCCCAAACAGGCAAATTTTGCTCCAAGTAGGTATGCAGCCAGAATTGTGACAATATGCATACTCACCAATAACAGTGCAAAGGCTGTAACCACTTACTAGTGGTTACCACAGGCAATAAGCAATGCAAGGAAAATCCTGAGTTTGTATTTTCCTTCTCTCAGTAGTGTTTAAGTACTATTTTAGTACCTAAGGCTTCGAGCATTTCATTTCCACTGATTTCAAGTAGGTCTAAGGGCCTTTAGCTCATTTTGGGAAATACATGGCAGTCTGTAAGATCCATCTCATTTAGTCCATCGCTTGCCAGATGGCATGTCCATCTGCCAAATCAACATTTTGTCACAAAGGCTGGGGTATTTTCAGTCAAGCTGGTTCAAAGGATAAAGTTTCATGAGGCCCTGGCTTTCACCATGAGGTTGTTTCAAGATGAAATAATTGTACCACCTTCCCACTAGAGTTCATTACCTCCACAAAGCGAATTTTACCCATTTCTGAGGCAGGCCTGCCTATGGCATTGGCTCTAGGTCATTGGGGTGATGTTTCAGTCATTCCATTTTTATCACAACCTCAGAATCAGTTTGACAGCACAGACTGGAGACTAACAAATTTCAGGGAGGGGAGGGGGGGGAAGTGGTAAAAGAATTTTCATGGCTTCAAGGGACTCAAAGAAACCTACAGCATCCATATACACAATAACTTCCCTGTCATTCTAACTCCTAAATCAACATAACTTGTATCTCACAAAGATTTCCTTTAATTCCAGGCCGGATTTGCCCAATGTCTAATGGGTGCACTGGTGGACAGGAGGAAGGAGTTCTCAAAATATAGGGTATTTCCTGAGGAGCTGAAAGGTTCAAGAGGGAAAAATGGTGGAAGGTGGAACAAATGATACTCCCACAACACCTGCAGCTGTAAGAACACGAAGGATAATTTTTTTTCTGATGATTTGTTCCAGGATTTGCTGTTCAAGTGAACAAGCATGAATATACTTTACCTTAAAGTTCAGAAAGAGACAAAAAATGGAATTCTAGCTGCTAGTTCTTCCACTTCCTTCAGTGATGCATCAGACATCAAGATATCATGCCTCCTATGAATCAAATTAATTCAAGTGCATTATTCCAATTCAGCAAATACAGGACCAAGTTCAAACTATTTCAGTGTGAAATTAATGAATTTTATTGTTTGCATATCTTTCTCTCTGCAGACTATATGATGGGAAGTCCCCTCATAACCATATGCAAATCACCTTTGGATAGGCAGCAATTAAGCCATCCTTGAGGAAGCAGAACAGTATGGTTTAGTTACCAGCTAAACTTACATGGTGTTCACCACTGTCCTCCATGGACATTACTGTAAAACTGGTGTTAATTAAGAACCCCTGCAAGGCCTTGGGTTTGGTGCTTGAGAATGCATGTGTGTGGTGGCCTCCTCAAATGTCAGTCACTGCAGAACGAAGTGTATAAAGTACTGTCCAGGAAGGGGACAGTTCCTTCTGAAATACCTGTTTCTCTATGTTTCTTTGGGCTTGAATTGTCCCTCTCTCTTCCACTCTTCTCTCTTGTGTCCCCTCCAATTGCCATGCTGCAGAGTAAAAGGAAACGTGAATGCCTTGGCCTGTGCTTCTAGTGTCTATGTTGTACCTTAGACTTAAAGGAGAATGTGGCCAGCTTCTCTTAGGCTGTATGTGTGTGTGTTTCTAAAGGACAAGCAGGAAGATATGAGAAATCCAGAGATCACAGTCCTGTAACAACTTAATCTTCATGCTTTTAGGGGAGGAGAACTAATAAGGGAAGAACAATGATTAATCTTCAAGAAGTTAAATATTTACTGTTTAATGTTAATCATTAATCAGTTGAAAGAAAAGAAGCACACTGGTATTGGTAAAGACCTCAGCAGACTGGTACTACTGTCAAGCCTTGAAATTCTTTGTAATTAGAGATGAGACTGAGTTGTAAAATCAGCTGTTGAGGGTGAGAAAGCCATAAAATTGGATACATTCAGATAATCGCTGAAGATTGTCCATGTACATATATATTTTCATTCTTATGTATTTCCCCAGGATTTTTTACATCTTGGGGCTTGGAACTGATGGAACTGGGCCCAGCCATTTTTCACCTGCAAGACAAACCAGCACAAAAGTTAAAATGTAATACATATAAGCAATTGGCCAGTCACATTTCTGCAGTAGGATGACTGTTCCTACCCTTCTTTTGAAGGGTAAATACTGTTGATGGAATACAGATTTATATCTTATTTGGCACGCTTCAGCCAGCTCCATAAATCTTTCACTGTCTAGTCACAACCAAAGCTCTACAAAATTATTTTCCTCTGTCGCAGATGAGGGATTTTGCAGGTCTGGGACATTCCACATCAAGGTGAAGCCAGTTCTTTTTAGGACTCCTTTTCTGAGGGGCTGGGGGTAAGGAAAAGAAAAGGGGTGGAAAGCTGTGGAGTCAGAGAAACAAAAAGGACAATCTGTTCGAAGTTGGGACTAGAAACCAGGCCATAACATTCCAATTTCCTATTTGGAATTAATTAATGACTACGGTAGTGGGTGTTGGGTACTCATCTTCCTCACTCTCATTTTCATCAAGAATATTTTTATAGAATCAGAAACCCCACCAGAAACCTCAAAAAAAACCCTTCTATTTAAGTCTAAAATAATTTTAATTTACACTAATTAAATTTTTCTGCTGACATTTTTCAGCAAATGCATCAGATCTAATTACGTGCATAACTTCCTAGTGACAAACTTGCTTGGGTGCCAGATCTTGAGATCAATAGTCAAATGCCCTCTAACTCATGTAAAAGTGACTGAGTTTTATTAGTTATCACAACCAATTCCAATTCTCTTTACAAATTTAAAGTTTATATTCTATTAATAGGAAAATTAAAAGGATGGTCAGATATCTGTTAAAAAGTTGTGTAGTTAGGTAATTCCAAGTTATGGATTGGGGAGCTATGATAATGTGATTTTTATTAAGAAAGATGTAAAATGAAAATGTTGAAACTACAAAAACAGTGTCAGCCATAGTCTTAATCTTAGTCAAGACCTAATGCCCAGTACCAAAAGGTTAAATATGGATGTTTTGAAAACTGAAGAGTTTCAGCAGTAAGTTGAGAATGGGATATGAAGCACAAAGCCCTGAAACATACCGAGAGAGGAGGGAGAACTCAAGTTACTTCTTGTCTGGAAAAGGACTACATCTTTTGTCACTAACTGTACTGAGATACAGTCCAGTTAGCAGTTCCATCCCATGAGAAGGATCCCCAACATGTTTAATATTTCAAAGACCTTGAGTGTTTTATTTAACTGTATGACATTTCATTAAAAGAGGGTGAAAGCATGAAACCAAAAGTGATGTTATTAGGTATACTCACCTATAAAGCTGCCTAGCAGCTCTAAACGATCAGAGCCAAAAAAGAGATGAGGTTCCCCCTTAAAATGTGCCACAACAGCAGGCATCCCAAATGCCTATTGAGACCATGGAGATGAAAGAGAACGTTACAATGAGATAAATTTTTGCAGCCAGATGATCAATCTTCAGGAATAAAAAGCAGTAATTTAAGATTTTTTTTTTTCATTCCCTTCTTTTCACCTTCTTCAATCTTAAAGATGAGTTTAATGGAGCCATCAGAACAGCAAGGGACTCTCCAGAGCCTCTGTGGCCATTTTGAATGAGCAAAAAAACCAACCTGATAAATCCAGAGTTTTATGTCAAGTAGCAATAAATGGTATCTCTTAGCACTGGTCCTGTAGCTGTCCAGCTGGAATGAGCTGAATGGGTCAACCTTGCCTTCCCAGATGATAATGAGATAAAACTACCAGCAACAGTGGTACAGTTTTTACATGTTCAAAAGCAAAGACCACGTAAGACAGTGGTCTATACAGTGCTTTCTAATCATCACCTTCATTGTTCCTTGCTTCCCAGTATTGTTCACAGGGCAGGAATGCATTGCTGTGATACCAAATAGCACTGGAAGCATCTCACCCCATATTTTATTGCCTCCTCTGTTGTCTCTTTCAGTCGGTTCTTCACTGCAGGAGATGAAATAATTTCTAGTAGCTTCTGGGTGAGCTCTGATGATAGCCCAGCCTGTCTGGCAACCTGACAAAAGATTATTATAATTAAGAGTACTCAATACAGAATATTCTAATTCCTAGTATGGTCTAATTAATTTCATCGTCAGTATTATCACACAAGGTTTATTACCAAAAAAATTACAAAATACCCATGAAGCACTTGCACAACTGACTTGCTGTATTCCCAACCCATTCATAATTTATCATCTCTCAGATAAGGGATATTTTAAACTTCCAAGCCCCAAATACACCTTTTTTTTTTCAGGTGTTCCTAAACATGAAAAAAACCCAAACAAAACCAAACCAAACCAAACTAAGTTTAACCTCTGATCCAATAAATTGTCAGATAACTTGCGAAAAAAAGATTTCATGCCCTGTAAAAGAAAATCTTACTGTACAAGACTGCCAAGACAAAACCAGTTTGTATGACAATGGTGGCCATGCAGGATCTGTAAGTGATACTGCATGAAAAAGACTGTAACTCAGAGGTTAACCAGTTGCTAGTGTTATTGCTGGATTTTTTAGCCTTCTCTGTGCATCTGCCACACAGGAATGAGGTAGTGGCAAGGTAAAGGTCCAATGTTTACCACATAACATCAAAGTTGCAAGTACCAATTTAATACAGTATTTCACAAAAAGTGTTAGCTTCCATGTCATCTACCTGAATGACATGCCCTTTTTTTTTCTTTAAAAAGTTTTAAAATGCTTACAGTATTGTACCTGGACCAGTAATCCTGCACATGCAGGTGTTAATGATTTTTTCTTTCTTTCTCTCAATCACTTTTTCCATTTAGCTTCCACATTTTCTTGTGCATTCTCTACTTCCACATCAGGGAGATTAGAGTTCTTTTTGACTCTGCTTGAACAGGAGATAAACAAGTGTAGCACTGGAAATGCTGTGTATGCTTGGTAGCCACAGTGTTCAGACTGTGATATTTACACAGACATAGCATCTGGTCTTCACCAGTGCACTGGGGCAGGGTTCAAAGACTATACATTGCTTCTATATAGTAATTTATGTGAGGGTACTGCTGACTGAAAAAAGTAAAATCTGAGAAACTGTATCAAGTAAACAACATTCTTCCTAATTGATGCGTAAAACAAATTAACCTAATAAAGACTCAGATGAAAGGGTTGGGACCCTTCACCAACCCTTAGATGGTGTATTTCCAGAAGAGAGGAAAGACTAGTACTCGCTGCAGGGGTGATAAAGACAGACACAAGCAAACAAGGAGAGGCCTACCTCTGCATTGCTGAACAGACCACCAAACAGGGACTAAATTACACAGAGGGGGTTTTATCAGTATGAACTTCATTCCTCTGATGTTCTGCATGTCCTTGCTTTATCTTTATTTACATAACAATGGATTCAGAGACTATATGAGGACTTTATGTATGTATTTATGTACTAGGTTTGGCTGGGATGGAGTTAATTTTCTTCACAGCAGCTCCTACAGTTCTGTGTTAAAATCTGTGACCAAAACAATGCTGATACCACACCAGTGTTTTAATTATTGTTGAATGGCGTTTGCAGTGTCAAGGCCTTCTGTTTCTCACATACACACACACACCCCACTGTGAATAGATTGGGGGTACACATGCTGGGAGAGGACACAATGAGGCAGATGACCCCAACTAACCAAAGAAATATTCCAGGCCATATAAGATCATGCTCTGCAGTAAGAACTGAGGAGGGGGTTTAGGGAGGTTAGCCACCTTTGTCTTAGGAACTGGCCAGGCATCAGTCTACCTGTGGGAGGTGGCAAGTGATTGCCTTTGCATCACTTGTGGCTTTTTTTTTCCTCTCTTCTTCCACTTCTCCTTTGCTTATTAAGCAATCTTATATCAACCTACAAGTTTTCCTGCTTTTATTCTTTTTCTCTTCCCCTGTCCCACTGGGCAGTGGGGGGAAGTGAGCAAGTGCCTGTGTGGTGATTAGCTGCCTACAAGGGTTAATGTACCACAGTTTAATTATATCCTTCAAATCTTGCATCTTGAAAAGGCAAAATGTAAACCTTTGCTGAAGTGCAAGGACTAGGCTCTGGGAAAACAGTGAGACTGCAAGTTTCAGGTTTTAAACAGGGATGTTGGATAGGAGAGACTAGTCATGGACAATTCCTGTCTTTTCTTTGTATTCCAAGAACTTAAAAAATAAAATAACGTAGAAATGAGAGCTCTAAAGAGGATCTCATGGTATGCTAGCTTACATGCCATTATAGCTTTTACTGCAAAAAAAAAAAATCTAAACAATACACCAAAAGAGTACAATTTCTAAGCATGTAAAAGGGCAATACAGCACTGAACAGTAAAGCCTGGCTCCATCACTCCAAGGAAAGTCAACTTCCCCAAAGTGTTGCATTTCACCTGAAGATTTCACATAGCAGCAAAACCAAAATGCATTCTGGAGACACTGTTCATACTTTTACTACTGTTAATAAAACAGTATTAACAGATAATTAATTGTCCGCCCTGGGTATCTTGCCACATGAATTAACAAAAAGGGAGATTCTGGTTCTAAGTGTCATTCAAAGCATGACCGAAAAAAAAATAAAAAATAAAAAAAAAAAATCATTCCAAACAGAGCTACAGAGCTGCTAGGGAAATTAAATCCTTTTTTTCTAGCTGAAATTTTTCAGAACTCCAAGTAATCATTTGCCTATGTTGTCTTCATGTCTATTACTGATCCAAGCCATCAATAAGAATCTGCATCAGAAGTGCGCAAGTACCAACAAAAAGGAGACACTTACAGCCAATATATTCTCCGGCTGACTGATATCTTCATGCTGGTAAAAGAATAAAATAAATAATTCAGTACTTTAGAACAAAAGCTCAGCTTTGGACTTGAAACCAAGTTTTCTAAGAAATAATGCCAAATCTAGTTACTGGAGAATCCTCATTTCCTGAGAAAAAGTTTTAAGTCACCTAATCTAGGAATGTATTAAGTGCTTTCTGATATGAACTACTGATCCACTCAGCCCACAGGACTCACCATACATATCTAAAAGAAGGCAAATTAAGCTAGTTCTTCCCTTGTAATGGCTCCTGAACCACTGTGACCTTAAGTTTCCTGCTATGACTTTTCATTAAAAGACATTTCCTTTCTATTGCTCAAATTCCACATTTGAACAAAGTGGGACAGGAAGGGTGACAGAAAAAGATGAAGTTCGCTTCATAAAATACTGACCTGTGACCAAAAACGTATCCAGAACTCCCTAGATAAGGGTTCCAAGTATTGTGGTTGTGTCATCTCAGCGGCTGTGATAAAGCGCATGGCCCCAAGAGTGCCTGGAATTAGTGGGGAGACAGAGAACATGCTGAAACAAGGCACAGGATCAGGAACAGTCACACTCTGCACAAGTGGTATTTAAGAAGTGTGATCTTCTCTGTAACAGTCCCCAAACGATTCAGTTAAAGCTCATGTTGATTCATTCCATGGTAATATAATTCACAACAGTATTTCTTCAGAAGTTCCTTTCGTGGTTAAAAATGCAGACTTATTTGCTCACTGATAAGGGAGGAGGCTGTGGACAGAGAATTCATCTTCACCTTTACCAGAGAATTTGAACCAGAAGTGCTAGAGTTGAAAGATACCAGCTAAATCTCTTACTTACTTGTACCAAGGATACGTTGGAAGACATTTTCTGAAAGTTTTACAGGCACTTGGTAGTATTTTGCCATCCTTTTTATATCCTTCAGCAGGTATTCCGCACGCTTTGGCAGCATTGCTGGGGGTTTGTTACCTTTCAGGAAAAAGTTCTGTTGAGATTTTCAACTGTATTATAGTAACACTGGACAAAAGAAAACTGGCTAAATTAGACCTCATACAGAGATATGCCTAAGGTAGTGTATAATTTCCTATTGGCTTACTGAAACATACACAGCTTTTCCAAAGATAATGCTAGGATTTAAACATGATTTATTTTGGTTTTGCACAGATCAACCCTTGAAGTTATCAGAATAATTTTTAAACAAAGGTACAAATGTCCTAGCAGGACTTAATATTCTGACAGATGACTTTTAAGATAAACAACTATTAATGCACAGGTAAAAAAATGTAGACACTTGTTAATCTCATGATTTATAAATCTCACTGAATAATCTGTTCTAGGAAGACCACAAGCAGTATTTTATGGCATACTTGGTTCATTCATGCATATTACAAACTGAAAGTGTTCCACAAATAAATTCTGGTTTGAACTCAACAGAAAACATTTAGTAAAACTTTCCATATCAAATTATTATTATAATCCTGTAATAATTATTATTACCCTATAATAATTTGCTGTGGAATGCCGAAGATCTGAGGAACTCTGGCACAGACTCTATGTGCCACAAACAGCAGCTGTGTAGTTGCAACACTGAAATTCTTTGTGGCTGATTTCTGTCACTACTGAGCTCCACAGTCCTATAGTTAATCTGTTACTGATGCCAAAAGTTTAAAGCTGGCTCTGTGGGCTCTGCGCTCACCAAGAGTGCCGACTAGTGTCCTACTAGAGAAGAAGTTATTTCCCTGCAGAGCTCATCTTCCCATATTGCCTACCAGTTGCTTGCATTATGCCACCAAGGAAAGCTGGACGAAAGCGCAGATCAATATTCCAGATGTGCTGGTACCGGCAGAGCACCTGCAACATAAAAAACAAAAAAAAAAAGCGATGGAGTAACAGTCAGAGGAGATGTCTATAGAGCTGCATGCAGCTAGGAAATAAGTTCAGGCATTAAACAGACACTGCAGATAAATAATTTTCTATTCTAGTAATAGTTCTAAAAGCCTTTTCTGGATGCTGACCAAGAACCCTGATCTCAGAAAGACTGAAAGGACCACATCTGTATTATGACTATGTTGTCCAAAAGGCGGATATGTCACCTAATGTGCAGTAGGTCAATAATCACACACTCAGGAGAGACATTGCTTATTTATTTTAGGGTTGCACAAGCCTAGGTGCTTGGCAGTTTCCCACAAATCAAGCACACCAAGGAGACTTTCTGTGCTATATTTATACACAGAACTTGCAGTTAGTAATTTTCCAAGTCCATCCTCTCTATGATGCTTGGTTAGTAATTTACATACAATTATGATACTGCTGACACAGTACTTGAAGACCCTTGCCCTGTGCATGCATAGTAGTTCACGTGGACAAGGGTCTTCTTGACCTCTAGGTGTGAGTTTTAGTATTAGAATGGGGGCAGTTCAGCTAAGGATTCATGGACTGTGAGTTTGCTTGCCAAGTTGGCAATGTACCCTCTTCAAGGTCTAATGGCTCTGGGATGTCCTTGCTCAAATAAGGCTATCTACTTCTGATTTGGGATGCCTTTGACTTTAACATATACAAAGAACATCTTTCTTGACATAAGCATAATATTACAAAATCACAGAATCATTCAGGTTGGAAAAGACCCTTGGGATCATCGAGTCCAACCATCAGCCCTATTCTACAAAGTTCTCCCCTACACCACATCCCCCAACACCTCATCCAAACGACCCTTAAACACACCCAGGGATGGGGACAGCCTATTCCACTGTCTGACCACTCTTTCTGTGAAACTTTTTCCAAATGTCCAGCCTGAACCTCCCCTGTTGCAGTTTAAAGCCGTTCCCTCCTGTTCTATTGCTACATTGTTCTAAAAGTTTAACCTTCAACAACTGTCCAAGTCTAAGTAGGGAAAAGGTCACGCTCACGAGTGGACGCTTGCATTTGTTAAACATCAAAACTATCCCTCAAGCAAAACGTTCACCAAGAACTCCCAAACATGCACAGGCCATGCTGCCATTTGGATGAGACACATTTCCTTAGTGTCTCTGGTTTTCAACCTGTGAGGAAGAAACCGAAATACCCCCCACAGGTGAGATAAAAAGAAAACCTAAACAAAAGGCGTGCAGGGCGCTGCCTGCAGCAAGGCTCCCGGGAAGGCGCCGCCGGTCGGCCGTACGAGCGGCCCTTCAGCCACCTCCTGAAGGTCGCAGGAGCGACCGCCCGGGCCCGGCGCCTCAGGGAGGCTGCCCCGGGCCGCCGGACAACTGCGGGACGCCCCGGCAACGTCCTCCCTCCGCCTTACCTCGAACCCCAGCCATGAGTAAGGAGACACCACATCGTAAAAGAGCTCCACGAGCGTCCGCGTCATCCTTGCCCTGCCCCGTCCCGTCCCGTCCGACCGCCGCTACCCAGCGCTCCGAGCGGCAGCAGCACTTTCCTCAAGGCAGGCGCGGGAGGGAGGCGGGCCGGCGAGGGAGAGGAAGTCTGGCCGCTCTCCCGCCCCAGTGGGCGGCAGGCTCCGGTCGGCCTGTCGAGCTCCTCCTCTTCATCTTTTCGTCTGTCCCCGCTGTGAGGTGGCCTTGCGGTCTCTCCTTTGAAGCCCGGCTTGGGAGGAAGAGGAGGGGTGGGGGCGGGAGCCGGGGCCCTTCTCCATGGCGAGGCAGGAGCGGAGGAGCCTCCAGAAGGGGGACCCCGGGCGCTGACTCAGCAGGGCAGGTCAGCATGTTTTCCCGGGAGCACGGTGTCCCCGCCGGAGCCTGTGGAGGGTATGTAAAATTTTAAAAAACAAAAAATTCCCCTCGAAAGCTAATCAGTTGTGGTGACAAATTGAAGTTCTTACTAGCCAGAAAAATCATGCAGTTATGAACCATTCTTTTTAAATACACTGACATTATTTTAAAGATTTATTTTAATGCTACAATCTAAAGCAAACAGTAACTACTTTTCATTTTTTTGTATTATCCTTGTTTTTGTATTATGTAACATATCAGTCAAACAATCTGTAAGCCTGTGTTCTTTCTTGATATTTAAAAGTCTTGTCAAGTATGTTGCAGTATCCCACTGAAGCACATGGTGGCAAAATACTATCTTGCTATTTTCCATCTCCTCTTTGATATACTCAGTAAGTTTGTTTAACTCTTACATGCACATGATCAACAGCACAAAGCTCTTCCAAAAGCACAGCTCATGCGAATTCCATTTCTTTCTGCAGGTGAGCATCGGAGACAATCAATCTGGCCTAACAGAACTGAATTTCATCTGCTGCCTGATCTGGAAATGCAGTATGCTTCCCTGCCACCTTCTTCAACCATTATTTGCTCTTTGAGGTAAGTGAGGTACATCTACAGGCTCACGTCTTTACTTCCTCCTTTATATAGAATATTGAATATGCTGGGCTAAATGTAGATCTTGGTAGGCATCTCCCACTGGGTTTTATAGGCTTCCAAGCACTCAGAAGCTCTGAATATGAGCCTGTTCTTCTTCAGAACTTAAAATATGAATGTGTCTAACTTTAGACAATAGATTTTAAATGTTGAGATTCTAACAGTTTACAGCATAGAACTGTAATTGCTTACAGACTTTTATGTATTAGAAGAATAGATCTTCATTATAGCAGAACTATTTGTCTTTAACATGTTTCATCTATGAAACTATATTGATCGATCATTATAAAACTACCCTTGGAAAGGAAAGTGTTGTTTCACATTAGCTCTGAAATGACAATGTAAGGATGGGCCAACTTTATTAACAGCTATAATCAATACATACCTTCTAAATTATTTCAAGTGCTTTTAGAAATGTTACTCACTTGAGTGTTTCTACTCAATTTTTCATTCACTGATACTATAGAGAATCAAGAGTTTCAGTTTTCTCTTGGAGAAGCCAAACTGGCTCAGAATTACTGCTTATATTACATATTATATGTATTTATATAAAGAGAGAGAGAGATAGTAGGGAATATTAAAGGAATTTTGAAATCACATAAGATTTTATATGTAGTAGTCTGAAGTATAAATATCCTATTAATTTACTGTTGTTGCAGGATTCTGATCCTTAATAAGCTTAACAAAACAGTCCTGACATTCAGCCTTTATGATCTGGGGAGACTGAATGGGCATTTGAGCCAGACACTCGTGAACTTCTTGTAGAATGTTATTAAGGAAAACATGAGTAAATATTTGAAAGAAAGAAGTCAAATCATTTGAGATCTCAAATTTGGCTCATGAGCCTTAATAAAGGTGCAGTGATGTTATAAAGGTGTGGAGAAACCATGGCCATCTGCATCTGGAATGACTTGAGGAACAGTTCCTAAAGAATTAATATTGGACCTGTGTTTAAACACTTCAGATAGAGATATCTTCCAAGAAGTTAAGTCAAGATACAAAAGAATTGCTCAGAGAAAACAAAGTCATAGCAAAATACTACCTACACACACGCACACACAAAATCTTTTGTATTAGTGTTTGTTTATAGTAAAGGCAAAGACTGCTTTAAACTATCTTAAACTGAAGTGTGAGTTGAGGGCATTAGAGCAAACACATAAAATGAGCAGTGGCACACTGCCAGACTCCAAGGATGTTAGCCAAGACTTCTAAAGGGACTTTAAATAACTCAATAACCACCAGGGATGTGCAACCTCTCCCTTAGCATCACTTGATTTCAGGAGGATGGAAGGCTGCTGGTGTGATACTGACTTGTAAAAAAGCTTTCAAGAAAAACTATGAAACTATGAATAAGTCTGAATAAATATGGCTATATGACATACTCAAAATGTACAGTTCTCAGAGAAAAGGAAGTCAAGGATGTTAATGGAAATACATCATGCTGGATTCAGTAGCTCAAGCGAGGCACTGCTGTTGCAGCTTCTGGTACAACCGGTGGTGAGGCTAAAGATATATTCCTAGTAGGCACACATATGTACATATATGTATGTACCACAAATATACATGCATACACAGCTGGCCACACAGATCAGAGATGCTCAGAGCGCTCACATGATCACAGCACCAGTGGCCTCATTCTGCTACCCTCTTTGGTTGAGCAAAATAGAAGTCCGCTAATGAGGGTCTATTATATGTGTATGTACAAGGTGACTTCCTCCAGCAGCTGGGCTCAGACACTCCGTCTCCCCAGTTGCTGGCACCTGTAGCCCCAGAGGCTACAGCCCCACTCCAGTTACCAATACAGACTGTCATGGACACACACACATGCACACACACAAACACACAGAGCCAGGACTTCCCATGTCCCAGTAGCTGACTCCTCTGTGGTCTTGCCCTGTGAGACATGTAGACACTCTCACACCCTTCCAGACCTACTCAGTACCCCAGCTCTCAGGTAAGCTACTCACTAGGCTGGTCTGGCTGTGTCTTCATGAGTGATGGCACCCTCACATGCATACCTGCACTCTCTCCAGTTGCTGGCACCATGGGCATATAGGCCCCTGAGACCTGCAGTCTGACACCGCTTGCTGCACTCAGACCCATGTACACACATGTGCACACAGAGTAGAGAGCCCTCACCCAGCAGTGATAGAAATTACTTTAATAAGAAAATAAGAGAGGCATAGGGCATATCCAGACAAGTATACTGATCAACAAACTATGTACATGCATCTGGCCCTTTTATACCCTTACAGTCTCTTTTCCCACATTTGTTCCTCCTCCAGTTACCTAAAGTCTTCCCTTTTCCCACCTTTGCTTCCTCCCCTAACCATCCCACAAAAAGTCCTGTGAAGTCCGAAAATGCTCTTCCCTTGCATCCTGTATTGTGTCACAGTCTGTAGGCAGCAACCCCTTCAGTCCTAAATGTGACCTGGAATATGCTTCTGGTGACTCAACTTGCTGTAATCTTGATTTTCCACAAAGCAGCTTTCTGAAATTAAAGTAACTTTAACTCAAAGATGAAAAATCTGAACTGTCAACAGTAGTTTGTGACCTCTCACTGAAATCTTTCTTAACACCTGGGTACTGTGCAGTGAGACAGTTGTTAAGACAGGATTGTAGAGGGAGCTGGGAAACTTCAGTTCATTTCATTACTTCAAACATGTTGGTAGATGTGGTGGCAAAAAAGAATTAATGAAGAATTGTAAAAAAAAATATCTCTGGAAGAATTGGTAGGGCTTCTATAAAGGAGAATCCTGCCTTATGTTTTTTTCAAGAGTGCTGCCTGCAACAACACTCCCATACAATGCTACCAGAACTAAAAAAATATATGATAATCGAGTCCTGTTACTCTGTGGCTGATTGAGGTTAAGTTTACTAGTGATGACACACCCCTTTGTCACCGAAATCCGGGATAAAAAAATAACTTATCGACACCAATTTGATGTAGATAAGCAGACATTTCTTTACTGACAGCCGGACGTGTAGGGGAGTGCTCTCACCAACAACACGTGCCAGACACCAGAATCATACACCTTATATAGAACTTACTCATACATATTCATTAAGTCTTCATACATAAGCATACAACTTCCAAGAAATCATTGACATATTCTCCTCCTTCTTCCAAGTCTGCGCAGTAGAGGTTAGAAATGTCTAGAAATGGGTCTGGGGTGTAATGTGAGTAGGTGGTCCCTGAGTCGGTGGTCGTGATCTCCCCCTGCCAGAATTACCTTCTGCTTAAGGACACAGTTTTCTTGGCAGGTACCTGCAAGCTGTTACGGTTACTTCCCTCAGTTCCCATTAATCCTGGACCTTGACAACTGCTTGCATTCTTCTAGTCCTATACATGTATTATAAATCAGTTTACAAACCATCTTGTGTTTTGTTACCTAGGTTCTAACCGTTCCTACTAAACAATTATGACCAGTCCCTTCAGCCTTGGTACGGGGCTGTACAGGGGATTTTAGAGTAGCAGTCGGTTGCTAGATTCAAAATACAATAAATGTAAAATGATTTTTACTAAAATATCCCTTAATTCTATACTTATATTAAAATCAAACACAATTTCATTTTAGTTGATAATAAAATCAGTAACACCTTCACCCTCTAGATTAATGAGCACATGCACATTTGTGGATACTTCGAATATCAGCATGGTTCCCTAGCCCCTCCAATGTTCATGCCCTGATCCTGATCCTTCTTGCCCAGTATATGGGTCTTTTACTTGCCACCTAGTCCAGCTCAATACTCACTGGCAAACAGAGGCATGAATTTACACACTTGTCTCGCAAGGACTCTTACACTTGTGGATCCCTTGATTATCAGCAGAGGCTCTCAGCTTGGCCCATGGACTACACTAAACTCCCTCAGCCACCTCCCACTCAGACATGAATCTTTCTAGGTTTTCCTCTTCCTAATCTGGTAGTACAGTTTGAAGTTATTAAATTATCTGATAAAAAACCCTAATCTGCACTCCACAGAGGAGCAGAGAAAAACAGTGGTGGGTGGGGGAGCCCAAGTAATGCTTCCAGGCATATCATAGGAGCATGTTACAGGCAAGCCCAGAGGCACTCAGAGACACAATGGCATGTGAGAAATTTCACCTCTCCCAGAGGTGGAACACAGCTATCTTGGGCTCTTCCCAGGGCTGTCCCAGGACAGACATCAGCCCCAAGGTTTAGGGATAAAACCCATCAAGTCAGCAGGAGCAGGAAATTTGGGGGCAGGGTCTGGGATGCAGGGGATGATAATTTTGGGTTTACAATAGGGATGTTTATGGGAGGAACCAAAGACAGGGAAAGGAATGAATCTGAGTGATTTTGGGATGAGTAAGTATGGGAAAATAGAGGTATAAGGGGATAAAATGGGTCAGTCATATGTAAACATGACTTGGCTAGGACAGGGACAGTAAGCTCTGACCTGTGTGCGCCTGTATGTCTCAAAAGGCAAGAGTAGAGGAGTTTGCTACCAGAGGGGACCAGGGGAGTCCTGACCAACTGCTAGAAAGTTGTGATTCTATGTATATGTGTGTGTCAGTGGGTTAAGAGGTCTGTAACAGCAACTGTAGTGAGGCTGTGGCCTTAGGGGCTTCTGTGACCAAGTGCCAGCAACTGAAGAGACTGGGATCCAGCAGCCACTTACTCGTTATACTGCGTGTCTTAGCCCAGCTATGGTGGGGAATACAGGCTGTACCTAGTGGATCTTCATCCAGATCAGCCAGAGCAGGTTTAGGATGAGGCTGTTGATTCTGTTTGTGTGAGTGCTGTGGGGGTGTCTGACTGTGTTGTGTATGTGTGTTTGCGTGTGTGCTTACTGTTCTCAGTCTCACTACTGGTTGTACCTGGAGTCATGGAGTGGTGGCAGCCTTGCTTCTTTTGAGCTACCACAGAATCACAGAATCATCTTGGTTGGAAAAGACCTTGAAGATCATCCAGTCCAACCATTAAACTCACACTGACAGTTCCCAAACTCCACCAGCTCCTTCAGCGCTGGGTCAACCCGACTCTTCAACCTCTCTGCCCTGGGCAGCCCATTCCAACACCCAACAACCCCTTCTGTAAAGAAATACTTCCTAAGAGCCAGTCTTAACCTGCCCTGGCACAGCTTGAGGCCATTCCCTCTTGTCTTGTCTCTTGTTCCTTGGTGCAAGAGACTCACCCCCAGCTCTTTGCACTCTCTTTTCAGGGAGTTGTAGAGGGCGATGAGGTCTCCCCTCAGCCTCCTTTTTTCCAGGCTAACCCCCCCCAGTTCCCTCAGCCTCTCCCCATCAGACCTGTGCTCCAGACCCTGCACCAGCTCTCTTGCCCTTCTCTGGACGCGCTTGGCCTTTTTATAGTGAGGGGCCCAAAACTGAACCCAGTCATCGAGGTGTGGCCTCACCAGTGCCGACTATAGCGGTAAGATCCCTTCCCTGTCCCTGCTGGCCATGCTATTGCGGATTCAATCTGGGATGCCATTGACCTTCTTGGCCACCCGGGCACACTGCTGGCTCCTATTCAGTTCCAGCTGTCAATCAACACCCCCAGATCCCTCTCTGACTGGCAGCTGTCCAGCCACTTGTCCTAGATTCACCCCATCTCTACCAGGAGATTTCTATTACACATATGCCCCTGTTGTCCCCAAACCAGGGTTGCTCACCTGATGTGCAAAGAGCCGGTTAACACAGAGTCAAGATATTTATTATAGTTCTGCACAGAAGAGGGTGCTATACATCCAAAGTGACCAGCACACTGAGTTACATGCACCAGATTTGTTTCTGAACACACAAACACACCTCTATACATAACTATTGGTTAGTATTTTATCACAATATCATCTATTGGCTAGTTTTATTCCTTGCTTTCATTTAAAGTCACAGTATCTACCTATTAATGTACACGTGCTCAAAGGGTGAGTCGCTTCATGAAGAGATGGGTAACTTAAGCTACAGAGGTGTGGTTCTTGTAATGAGCTAAGTTCACCTAAAGGAAACAAAAATAGGGACTTTCCACAGCATGGTTTCACATCATCATTCTGTTGGTCATAATCTTAAAAACACATTAGTCCTATCCTAGAACTAAGCAACCATAAATTTGTTTATAGCAATATCGATCTGATTGCAAAACAAAACTTAGATTCTGAGCTGCAGATCATATGAGAAACACTACTTTTTTGTCTTTTGCTAAATTTCTGCTTTTATATCCTTTTACAACACAACAATGCACATCAGGTTAGGGGAGAATGCAAATAGAGAGGTGCTTCCAGTTGCTGGCATCCCTGTTACGTGTGCCCTATGACCCATGGTCCCTCCCATTGCTGATGCTGAGACCTCCCACAAAGTTGGTTGCTGGCACCACAAAGACATGGGCTGTTATCACCCATGATCTAACTCAAGTTGCTGGCATTTGATTCAGTTGGTCTGGTGTCACCTAGACCTTTTGTATAGTTTTGGGCTAGGATAATTTTCTTCCCAGTAGCTGGTGTAGTGTTGAGGTTTGGATTTAGGATGAGAATAATATTGATAACACACAGATGTTTCAGTTGTTGCTAAGCAGTGGTCAAGGATTCTTCAGCTTCTCATGCTGCCCTGCTGGCAAGGAGGCCTGGGGGCACAAGAAGCTGTGAGGGGACACAGTCAGGACAACTGACCCAAACTGGCCAAGGGGATATTCCATACCATGTGACGTCATGCTCCATTTATAAACGAGGGGGAAAACAGTCTGGGGACTGCTGCTCAGGAACGGGCTAGGCATCAGTGGGTAGGTGATGAGCAGTTGCATTATGCATCACTTGTTTTGTATATTCTAATTTTTTTTCTCCACCATCTTCTTTTTTTGTCCTACCAAACTGTCTTTATCTCAACCCATGAATTTGACTATTTTTTTTTTCCAATTCTCTTCCCCATCCTACTGTGTTGGGGATAGTGAGCGAACGGCTGTGTGGTATTTAGCTGCCTGCCCAGTTAAACCATGACACCTTTGAACAGTCTCACATAGGATAGAGGGTGAAATTAAAGAGAAAGATATTTAACAAATATTAGTAAGATAAGATAGATTGTGATCAGGCACAGGGCTTATTCAGGCACGTGTTCTGACCAGCAGTTACTTACAGACAAATGGACCATTTTATCCTTTCCCACAACTTTGTTCCTCCCTGGTGTTGGAGAACGGTTTACAGAGAGCAAGGCCATAGCTCCCTGCAGGAGCTGGTCACAGCCACCTGAGGTAAACAGAGGAAAAAACCCAGGGTACAGTTATGCTAACAAGGAAGGAGATTCAGGGCTCAGTGATGCTTACAAGGACTGTTATGATAACAAAGAGAGAAGTTGGGGCACATTAGGCCTTGGGGGAGACTGAAAAACAGCCCTGGGAAAGAGGCAGGCCAGAAGAAGGAAGATGTTGTGACATGCCTGAGATGCCACAAGGGACTGGGATATTATAATGTAGCCTTTTACATGTATCCAGTAGATTTGTGAGTAGTATGTATGATTATTGTAGAGTGCTTATATAAGGTGTGATTTCTTTCAATAAAGTTGAAGCTTGCTCTATCATTCACATTGAATCGGCTGCTTGCTTCCTCCGCCCGCCGCAAGTGGCACACCGAACAGGGTTACTCGAACCCTGCTTTTCCACCGAATTGAACCCGGGAAGTGGCGGGACGGACTCGGAGTAGGAAGGCAACGCTGCCACCTCCTCAGTGCCAGCTGCAGGTGTTCACTCCGAGAAGGGCTACCATGGAAAGGCCGCAATAGGGGACTTACCCAGGAAAGGCCAAGGAATTAAGGAAACTGGTCATTGGCTGCCTGATCGGATGTGAAAGAAGGTCGTTAAGCTACACGGTTCCAGCATTTTAAGAAATTTAAGGAATTTTAGCCCGGGCAGGAACAAGGAACGAGAGGTAGTCCTTAAACTTTTTGCTTTTTAGAAAAGCGGGGAGTAAGTCCGATAAAAACTTAGCCACACTGATTGGTCTGGGCAAGGCTAAGGGACACTTTTAAAGAGCCAAATTTATTGTTTGAAGAAGCAGAATGGTGTGATAATGTTTTACACCCTGATGCTGTAATTCCTGAAAATGAGTCTGGACTGTCTGGTCTGTGTTCTCCCTTAATTGGGGATGATCCGTACATAAAAGTGAGGCGAAAAAAACGTAAAAGTGAGGCGAAAAACCTTGGCACAAGGGAATATAGACGTGGCAAGAACAGTTCTTATTCCTATAAGCTATGAGCCGAGTTATCAGCCACGTTGGGAAGAATGGCATTTTTCTGTTAAAGATTTAGAGAAAAGCATTAATAAGGACAGGCTGCAAAAAGACTACAACAGCTGTACTGGAGGCGATGGCTCAGAGATATCGACTGGCCCCATAAAAATTAACTAACACTTTTAAGAAAAAAAACGGCATTCACGCCGGCACAGCACTCTACCTGGAAAACCGAGGTGTAGATTTCTATGCTCAACATTCGGAGCTGGCGGCGGCCCGGGGCTTCCCCGAGCCCCCCCCCGCCACAGAGCGGCCGCCTGTGGCTGAGCCCGGCACTGCGTTCTCAGCACACACCCTCCCCCCCGCCAAAAGCGGCAGGGCTATGCAGCACAGGATTTATATGTTGTTAATGGAGTCTTCATATTTGTAATTTGTCATTTTATGTTGTGAGTAATAAGTGTCAGGAGCTCCTTTGTGTAGTTGCGTGATTGTGTGTGTGTGTGTGTGTGTGTGTGTGCGCGTGTGTGATGCGGCCGCTGCAGCTGCGGAGTTCTGCGGCCACGGAAGCGGCCGGGGAGAAACTACCGGGTCCTAGTGCCCGCCCGCTGGGTCATCGGTGCTGCGGTTGGTTTGGGCTCAGTGTTATAACTGTTACAGTAAAATACCTCCTCTAGCAGGAGGCAGTAATTCTGTGTTGATTGTTGTTCTGAATTTAGGTGCATACTCTGCGGGGAGAGTGCACCTCTGAACCATCTGCCTAATGGTAATATTGTCAAAAAGTCATCTGCAGCCTTACAGGAGTTGTTTGTTTTACCAGGGGTTGTAGATGCTGATTATGAAGAGAAAAATCAAAATTATGGTCTGTACCCCTGTGTTCAGTAACAAAAGGGTCAAAAATTGTTCAGCTTGCTTATTTTACTGCGGCTCCCACTAATAATATACCAAGAAGCCGCAATTACTCAGGCATTGGATCAGTAGGTACCCCTTAAATATTTTTGGACTTAAACGTGACACGAGGTTAACTTCTGGTAAAATGTACTCTCGTTAAAGCTAAAAAATCTGTTGAGCTGACAGGCGTTTTAGATACTGGTGCAGATGTGACCATAATATCTGTGAGCAGATTGGCTGTTAGCTCTGGTACATCATGATTTTCAGGGTTGGTGTCATGCTGTAGCAATTTAAAGCAAGGATCTCATTCATGTAAGAGGCCCAGAAAATTGGGTAGCAAATATTCATCCATTTATATCAGAAAACCCCTATTGCATTTTGGGGTCATAACTGAATGACTCAATGAGGAACTCAAATTGGATCAAATTTGTCTTAATCAGCACTGTAGCACAACCCACCCTGAAACCCACCCTGACACTAACCTTGTAAACCGAATCACCTGTGTGTATTGTCCTGCAACAACTTAAAACTGTTATTAAGACTTTAAAAGATTTACAGACATTGTTGGGAACCATAAATTAGATACAGCCGTCGTGGGCCTAACTCGTGATGATCTGCATAGCTTATTTGATATTTTGTGAAAAGATCCTTCACTGACATCACCCAGAGTACTTACAGAGAAAGCAAAACAAGATCTTCACCATATATCTAACAAGCATCACAAGTATACTGTATTCCCCCACAGGACAAACCATCATAGAAAGAGCACGCCAGATCTTGAAAGTGCTTTTGCAAAAACAAAAGGGGGGAGAGATCTTGGCTCCAGGTCAACCATATGCTCTGCTGTAAAACGCATGCATTTTTTCCACCAGAATGCCAGAGCAATACAAAACCAGGTTTCTTTATCAAGGCACCAAGCTAAAGACATCACTGCAACTTGCCCTGAATACCAGAAAGACTCCATCTCTTCAAACCATTTAAACATCTCCCCTGTCTTACAGGTGTCACCAATATTGTGTTGTTTTTCATCACAGATACCAGATCAACAAGAATTCCAGAGCAAAGCTAAAGTGTTAACAAAAAAACTTAAAAAGGGGTAACTGGGAAGGACCATTTTCTTTAATAACCTGGGGAAGAGGTTATGCTTGTGTCTCCACAGGTCTCAGTCTCCAATGGTCACTGGCAAGGTGTGTGCAACCACACCTGAGGCGTGAGAGGCAGCCAACACTCAGGATCCAGTTGTGGGTGCTGTGAGTGCCCCTGTGCTGACAGTTTGCGATCTCTTCGACTGATCATTCAAGCAGAATGTCTGAGTAATATTTGCTACTGTAACAGAACAAACTACACTACAGTTGCCAATTCTTTTAAGAGAAAATGCTAACAGTAATTGTAATTTCTTAATGACATATATAAGCTTACTAGTCACTTATGCAAGATGTACTTTAGATAAAATATAGTTATTAATAAGGATAAGATGATGTAAGAATGTGTGTATTCAACTTTCTTTGTTTAGTAATATTAAGAATTAAGAGCTCAAGTATTGAACCTTATTTAGAAACTCCCTTGGTTTTCCGCCTGGAGTGGTGGCCAGGCTCCAGGTGGAACCCAACAGGAGGATGAAATTGGACGTTTCCACTCAAAGGAAGTTGCCAGTTATTTTGGCCTGTTGATTTAAGGGCTGGACCTGCTTGCAGCGACTTGGGATGCCTCACCTATGGATGGACACATCACGTAGGGTTTCCAGCTTGTGAAGAAGGGCACTCTAAATTCTTGCTGTTTCCAGGGTTCTCTAGCCATTGCGGATCTGAATGTTAGCACTTCTATTAATTAAGTGTGCTATTCCATATTTTCCTCACTGTTTATTTTGTAGTATTTAGTCAAATCCTTTGAATATAGGTAATGTGGGATGCTTTGTACTTAATAGGGTACCTTTAACAGTTTATTGCGGTGATTAGGAATAGTATTATTGATTGTAGTAATTATTAAAATAGCATATAGTTGTATAATGAGAAATATTAGTAAATTTATGCTTGTGCAGCCTGCACAAAAAGAAAAAGGCGGAATTGTTGGAGAACGGCTTACAGAGAGCAAGGCCATAGCTCCCTGCAGAAGTCGGTCACAGCCACCTGAATTAAACAGAGGAAAAAACCCAGGGTACAGTTATGCTAACAAGGAAGGTGATTCAGGGCTCAGTGATGCTTACAAGGACTGTTATGATAACAAAGAGAGAAGTTGGGGCACATTATGGCCTTGGGGGTGATTAAAAAACAGCCCTGGGAAAGAGGCAGGCCAGAAGAAGGAAGATGTTGTGACATGCCTGAGATGCCACAAGGGACTGGGATATTATAATGTAGCCTTTTACATGTATCCAATAGATTTGTGAGTAGTATGTATGATTATTGTAGAGAGCTTATATAAGGTGTGATTTCTTTCAATAAAGTTGAAGCTTGCTCTATCATTCACATTGAATCGGCTGCTTGCTTTCTTCGCCCGCCGCACCCTGTTTTCCCTTTTTCCCTACTTTTGAATCTCTCCCTAAATATTCCTTAGTAAGTTTTGATAGTTCCCAGACCTCCACAAATATCCATAATACTCATGTTCTCGTTTCCCCCTTCATATCAGTTACAAAGTCGTAGCTGACTCTCTTCAAAGCCAATCCTGTGGATTCTTGATGGCCCACCAAGAAGTGGTTGAAGAATTTTAGTCTTGCTGTCTCTCTTCCCATTTCCTAGTCATGTTTGTGACTATGTAGGCATAAGACCAAGTTAATATGAACTAAAAAATAGTTCCTTCTGCTGTGGGGAATAAACCTTGCATCTTTGGCTCTCCAGGGTGAGGTGGTGCTTGTCTCTGAATGCTATTTCGACTCTCTTTCCCTGCAGAGACCCCTTTTAAGCACTACTATTTTTAGCACTTTAATTATCAGAAGGGAGGAGTGTTGGTTAGTGGGATGTCATGCAGTGTGACACATAAACTGTAACCTGACCCAACCCGTGCTTCCATATTTAAGTTGTTCAAGGGGAAAATCTTTAAGGTTCCCTAGGAGGGTCAGGCTCTTTAGAAATTGTATATTTTCCCTTAGGTCAGGATCTTTATCCAAGCATCCTCAGAAACACAGGCCTCTGTGCTGCTAAAATAATACCAGCTGACCTTGGGTTGTCCTGTGCAGCCATTTCTTGCTTCCTATCAGGACATATAGATGTTTGTCTAATGACAGGAGCTATGAGAAATTTGTATTTCCACTAGGTACATTATCTATGTTATTTATGGAGTTGTGTTGTTTCGGAGAAAGAATTAAGGGTGGTCGATATAGGTATAGGAGGATTAGAGGGATCAAACTGAGTAAAATCAGGTGAGGTTGAAATCTGTATGCAATACTCAACAGTACTGCTATCATACTTCATGAGGTTTAAATCTCTCTGTAAATTGATGCCATAGCTTTGTATTTTCCTTTTGTAACTGACTTTTTCACAAATTTATAATTTATTAGCCTGATTCTCTTGATTTTCATCCTGCTCATTAGCCAATATTGTCTCTGATTTAATAATTTGAAGGAGTCTGTTACTTATAGGAGGTCTTATACATACCTCTGGAATCATCTGTTTTCATCCCTCAGAGTAAAAATTTTGCCTGATAGATCCCACCATTAAGCCACTTTACATCTCTTGTTATTCTTGTGTTCTGTTAATATGCTTTCAGCCTGGTTACTCCAATCATCCTAATAATTTCCTTGGGCAGGTCCCATTTAGGTGCACCCCTAGTTCTATAAGAGTTTGATTACAAGTTTTAACAATGTGGACACATTTCCACTATAAGTTCACTTGCCACTTTGAGGATTATATACCGTTATATACCTGGGGCGTATTCAGCTTAACTGGATCATGCCAGTGACATCAGTTGTTGCCATCTCTGAGGCCCAGGGGGTTCGTCCTTCCTTGTCCCTGGAGCCCTGCCTGGTGCACCCAGGGAGGGGAAGTCCTGTCCTGTATGGATAATTCTGGCAGGGATAAATAGTGTTGTTCACCTACTTCTGGCATAGATTTAGTTGCTGCCTTTTCCTGTTCCTGGCAAACACTCTCTATTTCCACTTTCCTAATCTTTCTATTAGTGAGCCAGGACAAGCAGATAGCGTGATGCAGTTAAATTACATGGATGTATGTGATCCTCTGTTTCTGTGTCTCACAGCATGCCTGTAGCATGCTTGTCAGGTCTTGCTGATGCTGCTGGAGAAGCAATCAGCAAGAATTCCTTTCTCAAAGACTTGGCTGCTGCAATGGCTTTATGTCCTCCTGTGATTCTAGGTTTAACCAGGGAGGAAGTAAACCACACTTGCCTGGAGCTAGATGTCAAGGTGGTTGCTTTCCCGTAGGATCTCTTTTAATGAAGTGCCTTGCGTTTGCTAGACTTGCCTTTCCTTTTGAATTCCCTCCTCACTACTTCCAGTCTAGCTCAGAAGGGATAAAGTTACACAGATAGAAACATCTTGTGCATCACAGAATCATAGCAGTAGAGAGTACTCTTGGGCTCTCATGATATTCCATAGGAAGCTCCAGTCAGTGCTGAGAGGGAGACAGCCAGGGAACCACAGATTTACCAGGATACCCACTGAATACAAAGAAGTATTTGGTTTATCTCAGCGCAACCTCTTCTGCTTCAGCCCTTGGCACAGGCTTATAAGGTGTTCTGATGCTGGGATAATGAGATTAGTGAGATTGGGAAGAGATGTGTTTGTCTGTGTGTCTTCTCAGCTGTTTGGGATAAACTCACTTTTTTTAAATGAATCATGATGGCTAGAACAACTGTTGTTTTTATGTGCAAATGAGAGTCTCATCTAGATTAAGGTGACTCTCAAAGATATCTCTTTTAGACACATCATTAAATTGGCATGTTCTAGACAAATTCTCAACAGCCTGTGTTTCCACTACATTTATCCTCTGATCAAAAAAATCATATCCGTGTTGAAGTTTCAGACCTTTTTCTTTTGAGATTATTAGTTGATCTGAATAAGGTTCATGAAAAATTTCTGTCACGCTCTTGAATAAATTAGCAGCTTTCTTGGGTGAATAAGGAGTGCCTACTGGAAAGGTAGATCTCAGATTTTGAGGGATAAATGAAGGCCAAGAGAGATGACAGAATGAAAGGGAGGTTTTTTGTTTCAAGACCTAAAAGAAATGTCATTAGGAGCCAAGACAACAATATTTCACCTTCTATTCCATCAACATGTGGACCTTTTCAATCTGCCTTCATATGATTAAAAGAAATTACATGACAGACACTTATAGGTATGACTACTTGCCATTTGTGGGAAGGAATTAAACTTTCTCCTACTATATAATCAGTATGACTTTGGGAGACAATAAGTCATCATGGTACAGAGGGAGAAAATAGGAGAGAAGCTTTTCCCTCCAATCAACTGTGTGATTTACTTGTACATAATTCAAATGACAAACCTGTGTGTAAAGTGAGGACAAGAATAACCTGTTACTGAGGTTCTCATTTCACAAAGCACTATCTCGAAAATTAATTCTAGTCTTCATATTCTGTGTGACAAGCAAGAATATTCAAAAGATGCAACAGAACTTTCATGATTTTCTTACAGTTCAGTCTCCATTCCTAATAATCTCCAGAAAGCTATCCCATGTATCTAGAAGCATAAATTTGAGAAGATATCTTTAAACAGTTTCTAATTAAAAAATCTCATAAGATGAAAAATTAACTCAGTAGAAAAAAAATACAATGAAAATATTTAGAAATAAAAAGCAAAACTGACAGGCAGTTGTGACAATGAGAAACAATAAAGGAAATTAAATTTTCTTAACAGTCACATTTTTATTTCTTCTAAGTATGTAATCATTTCTCTGCAAGTAAACCAAAGTAAACTAAATCCTACATGCAGGTTGTTCTGGTTCTACTAGTACCCTTTTAGCATTTTATGAACAGGGGTATATTTTCAGAGTGGTCAGTACAGCTTAGCAGTCTCTATCAGTGTGCCAGCTCTTCAATGTCATCATAGCCTGTATCTTCAAGAGCAGTGGATGAATGTCTCTCAGCTTCAAAGATCCTGTTTCCTGACACATTAGGACTCCAATCTGAAAACATGAAGGGAAGAACACTGAGATAAATACACATCCTGTATGTATTACCTTTACATGGTTGAGCAGCTGGCAGCATGGGCTGTCAGTTGTCTTTCCCAGAAATAAGAACCTTAGATACACGTGGCTGTGAAAGATGTGAGGACTGCTTGTCTCATCCTGCCCGCTGCTACATGTGCATGTATCGAAGGATCAAGCTTGCTGTTCCCAGAAAACAGGT